ATTTGTTTTTACCATTGTCGAAAGCAATTCAAGTATTATATATTAATAAAGTATCTGTATTGATCGGCACTTATAGAAAGAAGTAGAAAGATAGAAGAACAGGCTCGATTCCCGGCACAGGTAACTATAGTTTTCGATTTTTATGTTGCCTAGTGTGTTCTATCTTTTTACTCCTATCTATTAGTGCCAATCAATACACTGTATGTTGCTTTATTAATATATAATATTTAACTGCCTCAAGGGTTCCCCCTCAGTTTTTTTTATGGAAATCAGTTCAAGACGATCTTCTTTATGTAGCTGAAGCGAGCGTGTCTATGCTGGAATTACGAAAACTGTGCTCACAATCCCCAGACCAGAGAGGCAGATAATCTACTAACACTATCTAGAGATATGAGGGTGACAGCAATCTGGGGTTTAAAATAACAGACAGCACGTGAAGGAAGTTAAACTTTCGCTGACCCTGTTATCCTATTTCATGGTCTCAGTTTTGACATTGATTTCTGAATAAGACTTCTCTCTGTGTATTTATAACAAACGTGCCTTTGTCCTTACAGACATGTTGCAAATGGTTTAAAAATCGATGAATCAAGTGTCCTCTATGCGTTGAAGGTCGAAATGGTGATTTTCCAACACAGCGTAAATTGTGCAATTCATGCAATTACGATTGACGACGAACTGGGGTAAGAATGAAAACACGAAGCAAGAATGGTGCAAAACAAAACCGGGTAGTGGGCCTAATACAAAACGAACATCGAACAATTACCGAAACAATATTTTGACAAAAAATTAATTATATAATTAACCTATAGACCGTATAACTAGACTTTGGTAGACCGAAAATGAGTGATAACTGGGACAGGATATCTTTTAATAAAGAAACTATTTTACAAAATGAATGCTCGGAAGACAATACTTTCTTAGATCTAAAAATTCGTTAGGGGTTACAAACATGAGACTGCATGTATTCACAATGACAGGGGAGACGGCTCTGCATCATTGGGGAGTCTGAGAAAAGCAGACGATGTGAGCGGACAGCTGTTTATTTGTGTACATGATGTTGAGGATCTTCATTTGTGACATCTTTGATGTCCTTTGTACATGATGTTGAGAATGTTCATTTGTGTACATGATTTGAGATGATTTGTGTCATGATGATGAGGATGTTCCTGTGTACATGATGTTGAGGATGTTCATTTGTGTACATGATGTTGAGGATGTTCATTTGTGTACATGATGTTGAGGATGTTCATTCCTGTACATGATATTGAGGATGTTCATTTGTGTACATGATGTTGAGGATGTTCATTTGTGTACATGATGTTGAGGATGTTCATTTGTGTACATGATGTTGAGGATGTTCATTTGTGTACATGATGTTGAGGATGTTCATTTGTGTACATGATGTTGGGGATGTTCGTTTGTGTACATGATGTTGAGGATGTTCATTTGTGTACATGATGATGATGAGGATGTTCATTTGTGTACATGATGTTGAGGATGTTCATTTCTGTACATGATGTTGAGGATGTTTATTTGTGTACATGATGTTGAGGATGTTTATGAGATGTACCGTGTTCGTGAGGTGTAGTTATCAATGCAGGTACAGATACGCAAACAAAAGTGATCGGGCAAGCGAGTGCATAATACACACGCATGCACACACCGTACACACACACGTACACACACACGTACATACACATACATACACGTCCACTCATGTGCACACACACACACGCATGTACACCCATATACACACACGCGCCCGCGTGCACACACACACACGCACACACACGCGCGCGCTCACATTACACAGACACATTCACACGCACACACAACACAAACGGACACAGACACACACACAGGCACACCAACGCACACGCATATGCACAATGTATACACACACGTACATACACACATATACATGCACACACATCACACACACATACACATATACCACACACATCACACATACATACAAAAATACGCCAACACACATACACTCATACAGAGACACACATACACTCACATACCCACACACTTACTTACACACATGAACACACACATTAACAGTAAATATGAATTCGTGCCGTGTTGGTGGGCTACCGTTGATATGTTGCATCCACAACTGTCTGCAAATATTAGGTCACGAGATCCCAGTCTTTTCCGCGGTGGAACTCTCATGCTTCTTTTACAAAAAACCATAAAAGTTCACTACCCTCTAAACCACATATGCACACGGAACATTTTCTTGTTTAAATCTGTAAACTATATATGCACTGCGAACGCGCTTCGTAATGCTGAAGTGCTAGGTTCGATCCCAGCCTCAGATAATATGGTAGCAGACCGCCTTGTGTTGGCTTTGGCAGCAGTATCAAGTGCCACCGTTTAGTTCAATGCGAAACTACTGAACGTTAAATAACCTAATAAAATCACAAACATCCAAGCAAAATGACCGAATCATTTCTGCAAAGTCTTGTATAGGATTTCAACTTACTTGTAAGTTACACAGACTGGCAGGGAGGCAGTCTGACCTGTTGCCAACCTCAATAAAAGGACCGAACGCATCTTTCACCAAGGCTAGCCTCTTAGTATCAGTTTTTGAATGTTGAATTAAGAATCGACATCACAACACACGGGACACTCCCATAAGCGGCCAGTCCCCATCTTCAGTAGCAAGCGAAGAGTTCAAACTCCGATGGTACCAGTAACTGTCTGATTGTATATCCGTCTCATCCTTGCCCTGAGTGTCAAACGTCAGCCAGATCCTCTAGTAACACCTCGCGGCGCCATTTTCCTCAAACTGTAATGATCTATCTGCGCCTCTGCACTTTTTCACCCGTTTCCAAAGTGCCCTCACAATATCTAACTTGTCATACATCAATTCACAACCAAGTGGCGCAGAGCCATCCAATCTATCTACTTGCTCATTTCCCAACACACCGGCATCACCTGAAGAATATATCCAAAGGATGCTAAGTTTTTAGGCTTGGTATAAGTTTTTCTGACAGAAGGGTCAAGGATGAAAAAGAATATACATGGACACAATTGGATGGATAGGGTTGCCATATTCTGATCTTCTGAAATAAGAGCTCCTCTCCTAACATTAAATTATATATAAATTGTGTTCCATGCACAGTGTATGTTTCTTATGAGCTGATCGTTTTTAGAATGTATTTTTCCTGCATCAGACGTTCATAAAATTGCCTGTTAAATTTTTGAAATTAAATTTGACATGTGAAATTGACTTGCGCGAATTCGCACAAGGACGATTTCTCTGGGCAATTGGGCATGTTTTAAATAAGCACTGGGTGCTAAAATAGCACATCTTCACAATAACAGTACCGCTTCAGTTTTCAGTTTAGTCACATAGTGTTAAATTTCGTCTTGGTTTTTAAAATTACAGACACATTTATGAATGTCCAGAAATATTAGATTTATTCGCAACATTAGGGATGGGATAGTTAGTAAAATTCCTCTCCGTCTTCCCTTTCCGTCGGCTCTGTGGCTAAGTCGATGCGAACGCTTCGTAATGCCGGGATGCCGGGTTCGATCCCAGCTGCGGGCCATGGGCCTTGCGTTGGTTTCGACAGTTGTATCAAGAAAACCGACCGTCCAGAAGCAATGGCAAACTACTGGACGTAAATTTGCCTATAAAAACCACACAACAGCCAAGGGTTGCTGGGGTTAGTTCTGCAACGCCCTGTAAAGGATACGCAACTAACATTCCCTTCCCATATAAATCACTCTCCTCCTCCCACCCCACCCCACTCTTTGTTTTAACCGCCTCCACCTTTCCACGCCCCGTTTTTAAAATTGGGTATCTCTTGTAGAAGGTTGGGTCGAGCCCTAGGTACTATTTGTGGGGGGAAAGATTCAAAGATTGATCACATACCACTATCTGAACAAACTAGCGTACTTACAGCTGTACTGCTGAGTATCACTGAAAATCTCGAATAGAAATAATACTGTACTTGATCTAATATCACATGTATGAACAAACAAACTAAAAGACACATTCTATGCCAGGTTAAAAGGCAGGTTTAATCCTTCTTACACCATTCCTAGATTGCGTAGGCACCCAACTTTGGGAGGGGGGGGGGGTCGGCGAGGGTGGGGGGGGGGGGGTTCAAGGATCTGAGGACACCCCCCAGGGTTAACTTCGTGGCGACGCAGCTGACGGCGAGAGGTCTTTGCAACCAGCGCCCCTGCCGCCGTATGTACTGGGTTGGCTTGATTCAAGGACCCACATCACAGAACTCGAGGTATTCCCATAAGCGTTCCGTTCCCATCTTTAGCAGCCAAGGTAGAGTTCAAATCGCAATGGTGCCAGGAAAATTAATTAACTGTTGAAGAGCGAAAAAAAAAAAGGGGGGGGGGAGAGGGAGAGAGAGAGAGAGAGAAAGAGAGAGAGAGAGAGAGAACGAACGAACGAACGAACTTTATTTTTCAAAGGGTCAGAGGGCACGCAGAGAGCCCTTCCAGTCAACCATCTTTCGAGCAGAGAGAGAGAGAGAGAGAGAGAGAGAGAGAGAGAGAGAGAGAGAGAGAGAGAGAGAGAGAGAGAGAGAGAAGGCGCTCAGAATTTTTGGACGTGACCGGAATGCCGTGAGATTAACCCTAGCAATGTAAGTCATTTCTTATAGTATGCGAAGTATTGATATATTGTTACTATTTTATTTTAACAGTCGATATGTTAACAATACATGTTGTTCCTTCCCACAGATAACTGATTGTGACGGCAAAACTTTATTATTACTGCCAAAGATGGTCAAGTTAATCAAGTTAGCTTGTCTCTGAAATACGGAGCAGACGTCAACCACAAGAACAACCATCTGAACACACCATTACTGCTGACCGCCAGGACACCACAGCCTGGCTAGTGATACAGGCAGGGGCGGACGTGCAAACAACAGTTCGAGACGTCGTTAAAATTATGTGCAAGTGAAGGAACTGTAAAAATAGTGCTACCTCTCTCTGAGGCAAAGGCAGGGCCTGATTACATGAACAGACCAGGAGACACTGCCATACATCGTGCCTGTGCTTGCGGACACTCGTCTATTGTTCAAGCTCTGATGGCTGCTGGTGTGAACGTGAAGGATATCAGCCATACTAATTGTGACCGTTCCTCGTTGTTGACGATTTGTGCGAAACGCCAGAACGTTTCAACTGTGCATCCTTTACTTCAAGCTGGGACACGAATCAAAGACAGGGATAACCTTTACGATATCGACGATAGCCCGCTTATTCAGGCCACTAGACAATCTCAAGTTGACATCATGCACATCTTAGCAGTGGCTGGAGCCGACGTCAACTCCAAAAACACACTTGGCCAGTTCTCGCTGTCAACTGCAATTCTTTACAAAAACAGTGACGCCGTTAAATGTTTGCTAGCTCACAAATCAGGACATTAACCAACGAACAAAATCTGGGGACACACCTTTGATTCTGGCAGCAGAAAGCGGTTGCGCCCAGTTCTGTGAGGAATTCATCAAACATGGCGCGGAAATTGATGCTGTCAACGATCATGGCGACACCGCCCTAATCCAAGCCACGAGAAATGGTCACTTTGAAGCCATGAAAGTTCTCATTGACGCTGGAAGTAACCTGAACCATATCAACATGTCCATGATATCAGCTCTGCGGTTCGCGGTAGGTCAGTCCTTGTTCTCATGCAGCCAGGGTCTTGTGTATCTTTTAGAATCTGGAGCCAAGATTCACTCAGAGCTTCACTACGCTGTAATGCTGGGACTAACACATGTTGTCAAACAATTTCTATCTTACAAAGCCCTACCCGAAGCAATAAACGCACATCACTTCATTCCATCTCTCCCAAACGAGAAGAACTTGTCACCTTTATGTGTTGCTTTAATTGCGGACAGGGTGGAGCTTGCAAAATTCTTCTTAGACATCGTTTTTCTGGCGGACATCGATCTGACAATTCTCAATCGCAACCAGTCGTTCAGGCGTTACCTTAAAGACAAGTCTCGCGGTTGAATCCCTCCATTTTTTGGATTGTGTTCTGTCTGTGCCGTTATCTCTGTATAGTTTAAGTTTTCTAGCGGTGTCTAAAGCTGTTGGGTTCGATTCTCGTTCCAGAAAGGCTAGGGTTAATGCAACAGGTCTGCCTTACATATTACAAAAAAGACTGATGTTCGTATCTTAGAAATGTGTCTGTACATGTTGTAGATTTGCGTAGCGTTTCCTGACTCCATGGATATCATAACCGATAACTCCACGTGTGTGTGTGGTGTGTGTGTGTGTGTGTGTGTGTACGCGCGCGCGCAGGAGCACTTTAAAGGAAACTTGAATGATCCTTGTCGAGCTTGCATTCGTATTTGGTATATGGTGCTACCTCATGTTATGGATAGACCAATCGGTATCCATCCTGACGAAGACGGGCAGTGATGAAACTCCCCAAGCTAGCGTGGTTTGGACACGTAGTGAGACATTGATTCGAGTGCCAAGACTGAGTTGAGAGTTTATTAAGAATCAACATCACAGCACTCGGCGCACTCCCATAAGCGCTCCGTCCCCATCTTCAGCAGCCAGCGAAAAGTTATAGTACCAATGGTGCTAGCAGCATTCTGAAAAAAAACGTCCGTCTTGGCGCACGCGGGGGCCGCGTAAAAGCAGTCGATAGGAGACTCGCTTTCAAATCCAGCTGCGACTGGCTGCAGCCCACGGCCGGTGTTCGAAACCGGGCAGTTCCCGGGATTCACCCAGCCTCTAGGTAATGGTTACCTGAGTTAACACTCTGTGGTTAAATGGAGGATCGTCGTTGTAGCTACGGAGTTTCGTGCAACACTGGCTGACAGTTTCTTATCAGCTGTCCGTACTGGAGGCAGAGCACTTATGGTTTATAACCGTATGCGATGACGCTGGCTCACATCTCTCGACTTTACCTTTACTTGATACATGAGACATACGGGCCTGCTGAACTATTTTGTACTTCAGTAGAGAGTTAAGGATCCTGAAAGTTGGTTTGACTATTTTGCCCTTGTAAACAATTTAATTACTGAAAGTGATGAACTTCTTCCAACTCTACTTGACCTTCGACTGTAGAACATCATCGCCTAGATCCAACACTTACACATATACATATATATGTGTGTGTTTGTGCGCCTACACTGATGTGTAGAAGCTTAAAACAGTGCTTTCTGAGAAATGCAATAAAGCTGTGTAACTGAAAATCTGACTTTGCTACCAGCTTCCAAAGCCTTCAGCAGTAAGGAAACTCCAAACTGGCATCCACTGGTTGTTCTCTTTTCAAAGGTCAAAACAAACAAACAAACGCACACATGCACACACACACAAAAGCACTCGCGCCACACTCATCGTGAAACAGGCACATTTAATAAATTTGTGAACCTATTGTGTATAGTGAACACACATGTTCACTTTCAGATGTTAACACACATACACACTCAACCAAACAAACACACATGTTCACTTTCAGATGTTAACACACATACACACTCAACCAAACAAACACACTTAAATTGTTGTGGGAGTTTTTAATATTAACAACTTGCTATGTAAACATTTAATAAGCTTTTCTCATACATCGTGTAAAAGCTAAATTATGTAATGTCAGTCAGTTGGCACAGAAACTAAGCTAAAAACGTTTATTTAACGACTTCGAGTTGTGGGGGGTGTCTAACAGTCTTCATATTAAAAATTATTAACTACCAAGCTGGATACAATGACTTTCAAGATGCATAACTTCCAAAATAGATGCAAAAACTTTCCAGATGGATAACTTCTAAGATAAATGCAATAAAAGGGAAGATAAATACAGAAAATGATAAGGTCGATCTCTACTTCTTCAGCGTTTTGAGCCCTTGAGATTCAATACTACAGATACCAGCACACAGCCATCCTGAAAATCACTGAGGATTTTAATAGATTATGAATTTCGTGGCTGTTTCTTATCCTCCTTCCTGACCTTTTGCATCATTCCTCTTCTTTTCTTCTTTTGTCCTAAAACAAAGCATCTTTTGTCCTACGCCGCGAAGCATCTCAGGAGTTAGATATACTTTCCTGTCTCTTTGTATCTTTGATTAGTCCAAATATTTTTAGTAAGAATATTTTCAAAAATTTGTAATAAGGCTTCATCTCTTTTAGTTGTGCTTCACATTTCAGAGCCATATGAAACAAATGGTCTTTTTGGTGTTTTATATATTATGATGCTGGTGTTACGAGACAGAGCATTTGATTTTAGCAACTAAAATAAATACCACGGTGGTTACAATAACAGGACAAGTTTAATAAGTAAATGACAAGGTGGATACACTAAATGGAATTGTGAACTAAATAACTGATATTATTTATGCAATAAAAGATAAAAATGCCAAAAGAAGGCTAAACATTCATCTAAAAATCAATTCAGTAAATGCCATTCTTAAGTACAAATGTAAAAATATCACCAGAAACCAACGAAACTGCAGAAGAATAAAGAATGTTCTGCAAATACCATGCTACATGGTGAAGATGATTAAGTTAGTTAATCACAGTTTCAGTTTCATGAAAAATGAATTACACTATAGTTTTCTGTTCCTGTGTCCGCAAAACAGACTGCGATCTCGGCAAAGCCAGTAGCCACTCACATGTATCAAAGGCATAAGGCAGCTGTCAGAAGTGCCAATACAAACAGTCCGTGACTATAATTGCAGTTAATGCGGTTCATCGTCGATGGAAGTGGTAAATACATCAGATGAGTAGTTGCACATGCATTATCATATAAGACACCACAGCCTTGTACCAATCGTTACTAGGGCTAAATATTTACTACTGCTTGCGGAATTATTGGTTTAACCTAAATGCGTTGAAAATTCAAATCCCGCAGTAAATGACTGGTGTATTTAATTGTTCCATATTCAGTGGTACCTCAGGCCATGGTCACCTCTAGTCGTGAACAAATCTACCAATGAACATAATCTCTAAAAAAATTTTTATTTGATCTGCGAACAATGCCTCGTCATAGAAATGCACAAACATGGCTTTGGAGCCATGTTTTCAGCTTGCTAACAGTATCTGGTGTGCGTGCTGTACATATTGTTTGTGGTTGCTTTGTTCATGATATAAATCTCTTTTAACCTAATGTAAAGTCTTAAAAAAAAAAATGCAAGTTTGAGGCCTGTCCAGTCAGTCCAGTTCTGTATCCAGGTCTTTCTTGGTCTGCCTCTTCTCCTCTTTCCCTCTACTGAGCCCTGCAGTACTGACTACTTGATAAAACAAACGCACCACTCAAGTGAACAGACTATTGCACATGATGATAAAATCACAACTGTATCAAAGTAAACAACTCTGTAAAAGTCAAAACAATGTTTTCCTATTGTAAGTTTAAATAATGCGGACAGTTCATCACACAGATCATTGTCTGGATTTTACAGTGTAGATACTTTCTGCTTCTTCTTCTTCTTCTTCGCATTTACCAGCTGTAAACTCCAGCAGAAAGTTTTTGTTGTTCATCCACTTCTGGACTGCAGTCTCGTTCCAGAACCTGAGTGTTGCCTGTGCATATGTTTGACAGATCTGACTAATTTGTTTGCAGACCGCTGGTTCCTTGCCTCTCAGGCAGATGCACTCCGACTTCGAGGGAAGGTCCCAATTAGTCGACTCTTACGACATGCTTGTGGGTAGGCAGTGGGTCTATTCATGTTTTCCTTATAACAAGGCTCTGGAACCCACACGGGGAGTGCAGAAACAGCCACACTTAAAACACTAAATTAAGGACATATATGGTGCTTGACTCCCGCTTTTATAGACCAAACAGCACTTGATGAGTGATGTGGCTGACATCACACCAGCCGCCTTTACTTTCCATGACTTCAACCATTTAAAGCTGAGCCATCCCGAGAGCCTAGATCAATAGGGAAATATGCCGGTCAATAAACAGGGCAGTTAATTATTTGTGTCCGCATTATTTCAACATTATAACAGTAATTGAAATATCACACTATCCGACAAAAAAAATAACTAAGTGCTACTTCTACTGAAAAAAAATAACATATAACAGTTTTTAAAAAGGACCCCATTTGACACTTTGAAGCACACTGTGTGTATCAGGGCTCTTCAACTGGTGACTCAGAGACTGAATCTGGCCCACAGATTTCTATGGTGAGACTCGGGCCTCTGGCACACAACAATCCCCATTTTCAACATTTTAGCCCCTGAGTAAATTTTGCTGAACAGCCAGTGTATATATGGGGCTAGTTCCACATTTTTACGGCCTAGTTACACCACCCAATAAGTGACAAGGTCACATCAAGGAAGCCACTTTTACTGCAACAACATTTCCTAGTACCCATGAAAGCCCTCGTCAGCTGAGTATATGTGCGTATTAAAAATAAATTAATAAGGAACAATAGAATATCTATTGCAGATTTTTTTTAAATATATACGTTGAAAAAATGCATTAATTCTTTCATTGTCTCATTGAGCCATTATGCCACATAGCAAACTATGTCACATAGCAGTCTATGTCACATGGCAGTCTACGTCACACAGCAGTCTATGTCACATAGCAGTCTATGTCACATAGCAGTCTATGCCACATAGCAGTCTATGCCACATAGCAGTCTATGTCACTTGGCAGTCTATGTCACATAGCAGTCTATGCCACATGGCAGTCTATGCCACATGGCAGTCTATGCCACATGGCAGTCTATGTCACATAGCAGTCTATGCCACATAGCAGTCTATGTCACATAGCAGTCTATGTCACATGGCAGTCTATGCCACATAGCAGTCTATGTCACATAGCAGTCTATGTCACATAGCAGTCTATGTCACATGGCAGTCTATGTCACATAGCAGTCTATGTCACATAGCAGTCTATGTCACATAGCAGTCTATGTCACATGGCAGTCTATGTCACATGGCAGTCTATGTCACATAGCAGTCTATGCCACATAGCAGTCTATGCCACATAGCAGTCTATGTCACATAGCAGTCTATGTCACATAGCAGTCTATGCCACATAGCAGTCTATGTCACATAGCAGTCTATGCCACATAGCAGTCTATGTCAGTCTATGCAGCAGTCTATGTCACATAGCAGTCTATGTCACATGGTCTAGTCTATGCAGTCACATGGCAGTCTATGTCACATAGCAGTCTATGCCACATAGCAGTCTATGCCACATAGCAGTCTATGCCACATAGCAGTCTATGCCACATAGCAGTCTATGCCACATAGCAGTCTATGTCATATAGCAGTCTATGCCACATAGCAGTCTATGTCACATAGCAGTCTATGTCACATAGCAGTCTATGCCACATAGCAGTCTATGTCACATGGCAGTCTATGCCACATAGCAGTCTATGCCACATAGCAGTCTATGCCACATAGCAGTCTATGCCACATAGCAGTCTATGCCACATAGCAGTCTATGTCACATAGCAGTCTATGTCACATAGCAGTCTATGTCACATGGCAGTCTATGCCACATGGCAGTCTATGCCACATGGCAGTCTATGTCACATAGCAGTCTATGCCACATAGCAGTCTATGTCACATAGCAGTCTATGTCACATAGCAGTCTATGTCACATAGCAGTCTATGTCACATAGCAGTCTATGTCACATAGCAGTCTATGTCACATAGCAGTCTATGTCACATAGCAGTCTATGTCACATAGCAGTCTATGTCACATAGCAGTCTATGTCACATAGCAGTCTATGCAGCAGTCTATGTCACATAGCAGTCTATGTCACATAGCAGTCTAGCACATAGCAGTCTATGTCACATAGCAACATTTGGAGTCTATGTCAAATAGCAGTCTACTCAAATAGCATTATGCCACATAGCAGTCTATGCCACATAGCAGTCTATGCCAGTGCTACGGAGTTTGTGCACTGCGCTGAGATTCTTCTGACATAGGCTTGAGTTAGAAGTAGAAGCGGAGGACTTATGTGTTACTACTCTTGAGCTATATTGCTGATCTGTGGTTAAAACCAAACTAAGATCCATATACTTCCCCCAAAAATGTAGAAGTGTATGTAAATAATGTTTTTTCAAATTCATTAGTTGGCTGTGTAAAATGGCTGTTTTTAATTTTTATTTTTATAGGAATTCCCATGGGTTTGTGACATATTTTGTATAGCATTTGTGGGATGAAAGGGTTTAATATCGCTAAGTTTGGTGGATGCAGATTCTAAAGGCTTCATTCATCAAGCCGAAATCTTCATGTAATACAACACAAAACTTTCTTAGTTCAAATCAGGTTCTAGGTGGCAACATTGAACTTACATCTTACAACTTGACTGACCAGGGTTTTTGTTTGTCCGTGACTTCATCTTCAACAAACTGAAAATAATTAGAGTAGACCATCTTTTACTGAAACTTTCTAAAACTAATGCACAAAGCAATTCAGATGACAACTGTATAAACGAAATAAAATAAAAGATTCACTCAAAGTCTTTTTATTTTGTATGTATCAAAAAAAAAAAAAAAAAGGTGCTGGTACTTTATATAAAAGTATCTAAAAAATAATGCCAGTAGTTAACACAAAGTTTCTATTACAGTAGTGATACAAAACAAGATGTCTACAGAAAGGATCCAGTACTACGTACCATTGCGTACCACCAGGACAAAACTTTGGATTTACTTGAAATAAATTATCTACTGTGTGCAGATGACCATGCATTTTACAGCCAGGAGGACAGACTGCAAGACCAGGAGGACAGACTGCAAGACCAGGAGGACAGACTGCAAGACCAGGAGGACAGACTGCAAGACCAGGAGGACAGACTGCACGACCAGGAGGACAGACTGCACGACCAGGAGGACAGACTGCAAGACCAGGAGGACAGACTGCAAGACCAGGAGGACAGACTGCAAGACCAGGAGGACAGACTGCAAGACCTGGAGGACAGACTGCAAGATCAGGAGGACAGACTGCAAGACCAGGAGGACAGACTGCAAGACCAGGAGGACAGACAGCAAGACCAGGAGGACAGACTGCAAGACCAGGAGGACAGACTGCAAGACCAGGAGGACAAAACTGCAAGACCAGGAGGACAGACTGCAAGACCAGGAGGACAGACTGCAAGACCAGGAGGACAGACTGCAAGACCAGGAGGACAGACTGCAAGACCAGGAGGACAGACTGCAAGACCAGGAGGACAGACTGCAAGACCAGGAGGACAGACTGCAAGACCTGGAGGACAGACTGCAAGATCAGGAGAACAGACTGCAAGACCAGGAGGACAGACTGCAAGACCAGGAGGACAGACTGCAAGACCAGGAGGACAGACTGCAAGACCAGGAGGACAGACTGCAAGACCAGGAGGACAGACTGCAAGACCAGGAGGACAGACTGCAAGACCAGGAGGACAGACTGCAAGACCAGGAGGAGAGACTGCAAGACCAGGAGGACAGACTGCAAGACCAGGAGGACAGACTGCAAGACCAGGAGGACAGACTGCAAGACCAGGAGGACAGACTGCAAGACCAGGAGGACAGACTGCAAGACCAGGAGGACAGACTGCAAGACCCGGAGGACAGACTGCAAGACCTGGAGGACAGACTGCAAGACCTGGAGGACAGACTGCAAGACCCGGAGGACAGACTGCAAGACCAGGAGGACAGATGGCAGGACCAGGAGGACAGACTGCAGGACCAGGAGGACAGATGGCAAGACCAGGAGGAGAGACTGCAGGACAACATAAACTACATACACACACTAAATATTTAAAACAGTGGAGATGCTAGATTTCTCAAGTGTGCTCTAACTAAATGTAAGAAGTGCAGGAACACAGGGTGTGTTGCTTAGGACAACAAGAGATTAGTAAATCAACAAGCAAGCGTAAATAAGTAATTTTAAAAATATTAAAGAATTTGGGTTGGTCTCCTTAGGCATGTTGGGCACATGCTACTGGTGGCATATTATACAGAAAAATGAGCAATCAATTGGTAATGTCATCTTTGCATCCCATAAAATGTCCTGGCACCCATCTCAGGCTGGCCTGATATGTGAGACAAGATCAGTTAAAAAAATGTTCTATGAGCTAAAACACATAGGTAAGAGAATTATAATCTCTTTTCATTGTGTTCACCAGGTGTGAACTCTGGCAGAAAGTTCTGGTTGTTCGCCCACTTCTGGACTTTGGCCTTGCTCTAAAACCTGAGTTTTGCATGCATATTCATTTTACACATCTGGCTTATTTATATGCAGACTGTTGGTTCCTTAACTCTCAGGCAGATGCACCTACATTTTAAGGAAATGCCTAATTAGTCACTTTTTACAACATGCTCATTGGGGACAGTGAGACTTCTCCCCTTTCCCCTCCCTCCCCAACACAATGGGTCCCTGGAATCCACTCAGTGAACAGTGATGAACAATAGCAACAGGGCATACAACAAGGTGCAGGAAATGACAAACAATCAGATGACTTGGTAAGAGTTGTTTTAGGGCCTATGCAGCCATCATCATCATCATGTAGCAGGTCCTTTGCAGAACGTCGCTCTCATCACGGTCTGCCTGAAAGAAACTTGGTCTCTCGCTAGCTCTCCCGCCTCATGCACTTTCACACTCAAGGAGTCACTTATATCCTGTGCCCATCTTTGTGTAGGTCGACCCCTGCCCCTCCTTCCTGGTAAAACGCCTTCTGCTATTATTTTTTTCCAATCCGTCGTGCCGCTTGATATGACTAAAATATTTCAGCTTCCAAAACAGGATGCTGTTTATTAGCCAATCTTCCTTGATGTTCAGATCTTTCAAGATATCAGTATTTCTCCTTTTCTCTTTCCAAGATATTCTGAGAATCTTTCTATAGCATTTCAGCTCAAAAGCCCCTATTCTCTTTCTTAACTCTTTGAGTCCCAGTTGGTTTAGCATCACAGGCCCAGGGGGTAGTAAATAAAGTCATAAAATCGGCGCATCATACATTCATTGGACTTTTAGGTAGGAAGCCATGCACGTATGATGCGTTCCATGGGACTCAACTTGGGACTCAAAGAGTTAAGGACTGGGAGATAGTCCACGACTCACATCCATATATTGCTACAGGGAATATACATGCTCTCAAAATTCTAATGCAGCCATTGAGGATGAAAACAAAAAAGAAGATCAAATTAAAAAGACCAATGGTGGATAAATTTACATCTGACAATCACCTGTTGAACAAACTTATCCATGCAAGCCATCCTGATTTTTTCAGGAACAGCCGGAGTATCCAGTTGGAAATGTCCAGTGTAGCCAGCATCCAGACGAGCTGCCTGGATGGCAGATTTTGTAGCCATCAACACAGATGTTGCTAGACATAAGGGTGGCTCACCAATACCCTGCAACCACAACAACATGACTACAAACAACATTTTACAACAGCAACACAAATAATAATTTTTCAAATTAACTTAATTGTGTAATAAAACTGCAGCAAGCCTAAGCAATTAGACTTTACAATAACCAGGATAACTGGTATAAGATGTAACTATTACAGAGTAACACAAAGTATTATAAGGTAACACAAAGTATTATAAGGTAACACAAAGTATTATAAGGTAACACAAAGTATTATAAAGTAACACAAAGTATTATAAGGTAACACAAAGTATTATAAAGTAACACAAAGTATTATAAGGTAACACAAAGTATTATAAGGTAACAAAAAGTATTATAAGGTAACACAAAGTATTATAAGGTAACAAAAAGTATTATAAGGTAACACAAAGTATTATAAGGTAACAAAAAGTATTATAAGGTAACAAAAAGTATTATAAGGTAACAAAAAGTATTATAAGGTAACACAAAGTATTATAAGGTAACACAAAGTATTATAAGGTAACACAAAGTATTATAAAGTAACACAAAGTATTATAAGGTAACACAAAGTATTATAAAGTAACACAAAGTATTATAAAGTAACACAAAGTATTATAAGGTTACACAAAGTATTATAAAGTAACACAAAGTATTATAAGGTAAGGTTATAAATATCTTCTTTCTGTCTTCTTTCTGAATACATTTTTGTTATCCTGTACCAATATGGCTTGCTGTCAGTACGTCAATCAAAGTTATGAATGCACCAAATGTTTGTTTTGTTTTGTAATTTGGTTGCTTCCACATTCAGTGATCAGGAAAACTGTTAGGAAATCTGCAGTTTATTTTAGTAGAATGCATAGTTCCACGTAGTAGACAAAATTCATTTAATAAAGCACCAAGTGTATTTAAAAAAAATTTACTTTAATTGCTAAATAAAATTTGAAAAAAGTTTACAAACAAACAAAAATATTATAAGTATATTTTTAGAAGAATAAACAGCTTAATATTGTAATAATACAATACAACCAATTTAATTGTGTGCAGGCGGCAGATACTTGCATTGCTATCCGCCCGTATATGAGAGATAAAAGGTTTTACAGGTGAAAATGTATCTTAAAGTTGTAATGGACAAGTAACTCCTTCTGCATGAGGCCTTAGGGGATAACAGAGCACAGCTGCTGAAAAAAAAGGTGGCTCTTGGGTGGTACAGGCAGAAGTCACGAGTGGTTTGTCCCATTGACAAGACAGCTTACTGTGAATAATGGGTTACAGGGCTGCCCAGCAAAACAGAGTTCCATAGAGTGATAGTTTCCTTGGACCCAGGGTGGTGGGAATTGATAGCTGGTGAAACAGAGTTAGTGGTGCAAGAGCTGATCAATGAAAATACATGCCCAGGGGACATCATCATATACACAGATGGATCTGTTGTAAGATGCAAGAAGAGGGGGTGGGGTTTTATTGTTAAGGTAAATGGGAAACTGCTTGAAAACAAAGAGCCTCACGTACAACGTCACTACTTCCAGTAGGAGAATGGAGGTGAAGGTGGTAACGTACAACATCACTACTTCCAGTAGGAGAATGGAGGTGGAGGTGGTAACATACAACATCACTACTTCCAGTAGGAGAATGGAGGTGGTAGCGTACAACATCACTACTTCCAGTAGGAGAATGGAGGTGGAGGTGGTAGCGTACAACATCACTACTTCCACTAGGAGAATGGAGGTGGAGGTGGTAGCGTACAACATCACTACTTCCACTAGGAGAATGGAGGTGAAGGTGGTAACATACAACATCACTACTTCCACTAGGAGAATGGAGGTGGAGGTGGTAACGTACAATATCACTACTTCCACTAGGAGAATGGAGGTGAAGGTGGCAGCGTACAACATCACTACTTCCAGTAGGAGAATGGAGGTGGTAACATACAACATCACTACTTCCACTAGGAGAATGGAGGTGGAGGTGGTAACATACAACATCACTACTTCCACTAGGAGAATGGAGGTGGAGGTGGTAACGTACAACATCACTACTTCCACTAGGAGAATGGAGGTGGAGGTGGCAGCGTACAACATCACTACTTCCACTAGGAGAATGGAGGTGGAGGTGGTAACATACAACATCACTACTTCCAGTAGGAGAATGGAGGTGGTAGCGTACAACATCACTACTTCCACTAGGAGAATGGAGGTGGAGGTGGTAACGTACAATATCACTACTTCCACTAGGAGAATGGAGGTGGAGGTGGTAGCGTACAACATCACTACTTCCACTAGGAGAATGGAGGTGGAGGTGGTAACATACAACATCACTACTTCCACTAGGAGAATGGAGGTGGAGGTGGTAGCGTACAACATCACTACTTCCACTAGGAGAATGGAAGTGGAGGTGGTAACATACAACATCACTACTTCCACTAGGAGAATGGAGGTGGAGGTGGTAACATACAACATTACTACTTCCACTAGGAGAATGGAGGTGGAGGTGGCAGCGTACAACATCACTACTTCAACTAGGAGAATGGAGGTGGAGGTGGTAGCGTACAACATCACTACTTCCACTAGGAGAATGGAGGTTGAGGTGGTAGCGTACAACATCACTACTTCCACTAGGAGAATGGAGGTGGAGGTGGTAACGTACAACATCACTACTTCCACTAGGAGAATGGAGGTGGAGGTGGCAGCGTACAACATCACTACTTCCACTAGGAGAATGGAGGTGGAGGTGGCAGCGTACAACATCACTACTTCCAGTAGGAGAATGGAGGTGGAGGTGGTTACAGCAGCTTTCTGATGGCTTGAAAACAGCACAGCTTGACATGTGATTGTAACAGACTCAAAAGAAAAATTGAATTGATTCTGAAAATTTAAACTGGTGTCCTGCGACCAGAGTGGCAATTGGTACCGTTAGCATGATAACTCTTCATTGGACACTGTAGGATAGAACAGAGCCCCTATGGGAATGCCAGCTTAGTTTATGAGTAATCTGCTGACTTTAACAGAAAAAAACAGTGTATATTAGTAAAATATACAATATACTCTGGTTCAATCCCAGCTGTGGGCCATGCGCCTTGCATTGGTTTCGACAGTGGTATCAAGAAAGCTGACCGTCCAGAAAGCAATGGCAAACTACTGGACGTAAATTTGCCTTGAAAAACCACACAACAGCCAGGGGCTGTTGGGATTGGTTCTGCAATGTCCTGTAAAGGATACACAACTAACCTGATACAATATACTTGGTGCTTCTATTTCCTAGAAACAAACATTTTTTTAGAAACTGTCTTAACTGTTTGAGTCCTAAGGAACGCATCATACGTTCATAGATTCCTACCTAGAGGCCCAATGAACGCATGATGCGCCGATTTTACGTTTTTCTTGACTACTCTTTGGGCCTGTGATGCTAAACCCCCTGGGATTCAAAGAGTTAAAAAAAGTGCCTTTACATCAACACTGAAAACAAAAATTATGCTTAAAAAAAGAAAGGTGCTGGTACTGTGTTTACCGTTGCATACCTCCAGAAAAAAAGCCCTGAAAATACTTTTACAGAATGTACAGCACAATTCAGTAGAGCACATAACTTACCTTTGAGGAGTAAACAGCTCTGGGATTTGTGCTCTTCTTCAGCAGAGACACGTTCAGTACCTGTGGTATGTTGGCAAAAGATGGGATTTTATAATTGCCAGGGCCCCTGGATAAATGTATGCCTTCTGGTGAAACTTTGTAGTCTTCCAACATGACAAGACCATAGCCCTGAAACATTCACAGTCCATTAATTTTATTCAGTCAATTATAAATGGAACAAAAGTAGTCCCCTTTAGCTCAATGTAAACATAATGTGTAAGCCAGACATATTTCACTAGCACTTTTACTTACTTGTCAGTGCCATGTTAGATTCATACTATTTTATGTTAATACCATTTTAATACCATGATTGTCAGTCACTGTCAGTTACAGAATGTCACTTTCTTCATGGCTCTCCCAAGTCTCCCTTTCTCTAGCCAACTCTCCAGCCCTATGTGCTGGCATCAACCTTCCTTTTCCGGAAACTGCACCTTCCATCACAGTTCTCTCCAGGTCAGCATGATGCTTAATATGGCCAAAATAGGTCAGCTTTTGAAACTTTTCAATACTTGTTTAGCTTTAATACAATTTTTCAAGTTTAAACTTGGTAGCAAACAAGTCATCCCACAGTTGTTGCGTTCCTATACAATGAGAACCACAAAGAATGTCCATCATTTTACTATCAAACTAACTATCTAACTAACAATCCAACTAACTAGCTAACTAGCTATCTATCTAACTAGCTAACTAACTAAATAACTATCTAACTAACTATCTATCTAGCCTGCTTTTGGAGTTGGAAAGGAAGTATAGAAGAATACTAGTCAATTATACTAACTACAAGATGTGATAACTGATAAAATTAATTTTAAAGTCCCAGCAAACCAATAGCATACACACACATACTGCAGAAAGGGGATTGCATGGTCTTGAGGCATGGTGTCCACATCGAATGCTAGAGGTTCCGGGTTCGATATCTGTAAGGGCTAGGATTTTTTCACGTGGACTTGGACTTCTAGTAATTCATCCTGGTCTCTGGGTAGTGAGATCGGATGCCCGTGTGCATTGTTGCGCACATAAAAAATCCACTAGAAATCGAAAAGAGTAGCCTAACAACGCTGCCCTGGCAAAATTTGCAGTTAAAAATCTACCTAAAGTATTTCAGGATCTTTGCGGATGATACAAAGCCTGTGCACTGTGCTGAGCTTCTCCGGACACAGACTTGAGTTAGAAGAAGAACGGAGCACTTATGGGTTACTATCCGTGTGCCATGATGTTGATCCGTTGTTCAAACCTCAAACCTCAAATGCAGAAGTGGCCCAAACAAGCACACACAGTCTGATGCTAGAAAGAATATTCATAGGATATTCCTATACTGACATGGTGAGCTGCAGATTTCAATAACAGTAACAAATATATAAACAATATAAAGACATAACAGATCTTACTTGTGTAAATGCTCCTTCAATCTGCCCAATGTCTACAGCTGGGTTAAGACTTTGACCAACATCCATCACAATATCTGTCCGAAGCACCTGCAACAAAGCAACAGCACAAGCCACTGTATGTGCAACAGACTATGGTTAACTGAAATAACATAACTTTAGTTTCTGGTATATTTGATTGTCTTATGACTGTCTGTTGGTTTCCCAGAGAAGTTTGGGTGATACTGTCAACCACACATCTCACAGAAAAGTTTAGGAGGTAAAAACTTTATCCTCCATGAGATAATCTAAGGAGGGGTTGCTAGGGAGGGGGGAAAAGGGGGGGGAGGGGGCTTGGCTTCTTTGCAGATGATGGATAGGAGTTGATGTTTGTTTTTTAGGATATTATTCATTTGTAGCAGCAGCACTGTCACAAAGAAATCATTGGACTTGGGGCATTCATCCCCCCTTCTTTTAATCGTCTAGTACAGTGGGTGTCAACTTTCCTAATGCAGCGACCCTTTAATACAGTTTCCTCATGTTGCGGCGACCCCCAGGCAATTATTTTCCTTCATAACTTAAGAAATATGTGTTTTCCAATAGTGTTAGGGGACCCCTGTGAAAGGATCATTGACCTAAAAGTGTTGCGACCTGGCAGATTGAGAACCACTGGTCTAGGGACTGGGGGGAGGGCTGGGGGGTGTGTACATGCGCATGCGCACACATTTAAGCCTTGTTATGATAATAATAATGATATATTATTTATATTATTATGATTATTATGTGCTGGATGGCAAATAAATATAATAAAATGTTTGAAATAATAGGACATATATCCACAAATACTTAAAAAAGAGAATGTCTATACATCAATTGGGGGGGGGGGGGGGGGGGGGCTCATAAACTGCCTTGTAAATTTCCTGTGATAATGTAAGTAACAGTAAAAACAAGGACTCTATGCCAGTGGGGCATAAGGAAATTGATGACAAACTCATTTTGTTTTTACAGTCCAATCAGCACACTGAGGATGATGTGGTCAACATCACACTGGCCACCTTTACTTTCCAGGACATTACCTGATACCCATTTTAGGTAGGGTGAACCTGGAAGCAAACATCAATTTTGAAATCAATCTCACTCAATGTGGATTTAAACCCTAGACTTTTAGGATGGTAGGTGAGCATCTAGCCACTGCACTACAGCAGCACCACTTGGGATAATGAATAGGGGATAAGGGGAGGCTGAGGGGAAGAAGCCAGCTCCTTCGTGCTTATAAAACAAATATGCTACTGAAGCTTGCAAATCATCATGTAGCAAGTCTTTTGTAGAGCATCTCTCATCATGGTCTGTCTGAAAGAAACCCTGTTTCTCGCCAGTTCTCCCACCTCGAGCACTTTCCTACCTATGATACAGCTTATATTCTGTGCCCATCTTTGTGCCGGCTGTTCCGCACCCCTTTTTTCCCAGTGTCATGCCCCCTGCTATTATTTTTCCAGTCTGCTTGACAAGACCGAAATATTTCAGTTTCTAAGACAAGATACTGTTTACCAACCAATCTTCATTTATCTTCAGATTTTTCATGATATCAGAATTGTATGTATTAAAGGCAACAACAACAACACCAACATCAAAGCATAATTGGTTACCTCAGAATAATCCAATCCAGAACCTACCTTATGGTCTCCAGTCAAGCAATCTATTTCAACCTCTGAGCATGCCGCCCCATAGGAGAAATAACTGAATGGGTTGTTTGTTTTCTTGCTCCAATCCAAAGACAAACCTTCCAGTCTAGAAAAACATCCCAATGTGAGAATACAAAGTCAACATTTAAACAGATGATAATGTATGCAGGTTAGGTTCACGTTAATCTCCACAAATTGAGTGGGTCACTTTTCATTCACAAATTTGTTGGGCTGGCTGACTTTCCTGAAGGTTACGGGTGTGTCTCACTCTGGTGTTTACTTTCTGTGATGTTTTGCATTTACATTTTCATTGGGAAAAAGAGAATGCCTGTGACATAGGTTGCAGCACTCTAGGGTTGTGTTAGGACCAGTTTTTCCATGTTTTTAGAGTGTTCAAAATGCTGGAGTGCTGAAATTTACGACATGCAATATCAACGGCATTGTGGAACTTCCCCGTAACCTTGTGCCAAGGTGACAGGTTCAGGAACTACCAATCAAAAGTGAGCTAGTGTATATATGGGCGGGCTGTGGGGAGACTAACATTACTTTTACGGTACACAAATACTCACAATACTGCTAAAAGAAAAAGTTGTAGTCTGAGACTATGTGGATGTCGAAAGCAAGGAGAAACTAAAATATTACTGAAAATAGTGTTTACTAATGTGAACTAATGGGAAAGGTGGAGATGAAGACTAAAAGGCCAAAGGAGAGAGTCTGGTTCATTCCAGGTAAAGATGTATAAGTATAAGGCATTAGTCAGAATGATAGAGAGGCATTGAGTACACTAGGCTGACCTTCCCGATGTCAAGGAAGCTGTTTTGAGACAGCACACACAGTGAAGCAATCAAGGGAAAACTGCAAGTGATCACTCATATTTTATACTGACAATGTTGAACATGATTTCTGGGGCCAATTGGGGGGCAGGGGGGTACTCCTATTATGCTTGCTACCCTGTTGATTTCTTACTGCATTAATCCTGTTAAGCTCATCTAAGCCAGGGGGATTGATATTTAAGCCAGGGGGATTGATATCTAAGCCAGGGGGATTTATTTCTAAGCCAGGGGGATTTATATCTAAGCCAGGGGGATCAATATCTAAGCTAGGGGGATCAATATCTAAGCTAGGGGGATCAATATCTAAGCCAGGGGGATTTATATCTAAGCCTGGGGGATTGATATCTAAGCCAGGGGGATTGATATCTAAGCCAGGGGGATCAATATGTAAGTTAGGGGGATCGATATCTAAGCCAGGGGGATCAATATGTAAGTTCGGGGGATCGATATCTAAGCCAGGGGGATCAATATGTAAGTTAGGGGGATCGATATCTAAGCCAGGGGGATCAATATGTAAGTTAGGGGGATCGATATCTAAGCCAGGGGGATCAATATCTAAGCCAGGGGGATCAATATCTAAGCCAGGGGGATCAATATCTAAGCCTGGGGGATCAATATCTAAGCCAGGGGGATCAATAGCTAAGCCAGGGGGATCAATATCTAAGCTAGGGGGATCTATATCTATGCCAGGGGGATCTATATCTAAGCTAGGGGGATCAATATCTAAGCCAGGGGGATCAATATCTAAGCCAGGGGGATTTATGTCTAAGCCAGGGGGATTTATATCTAAGCCAGGGGGATCAATATCTAAGCCAGGGGGATCAATATGTAAGCTAGGGGGATCAATATCTAAGCCTGGGGGATCAATATCTAAGCCTGGGGGATCAATATCTAAGCCTGGGGGATCAATATCTAAGCCAGGGGGATCAATATCTAAGCCAGGGGGATCAATATCTAAGCCAGGGGGATCGATATCTAAGCCAGGGGGATCAATATCTAAGCCAGGGGGATCAATATCTAAGCCTGGGGGATCAATATCTAAGCCAGGGGGATCAATATCTAAGCCAGGGGGATCAATATCTTAGCTAGGGGATCAATATCTAAGCCAGGGGGATCAATATCTAAGCCAGGGGGATTTATATCTAAGCCAGGGGGATTTATATCTAAGCCAGGTGGATCTATATCTAAGCCAGGGGGATTTATATCTAAGCCAGGGGATCAATATCTAAGCCAGGGGGATCTATATCTAAGCTAGGGGGATCAATATCTAAGCCAGGGGGATTTATATCTAAGCCAGGGGATCAATATCTAAGCCAGGGGGATCAATATCTAAGCTAGGGGGATCAATATCTAAACCTGGGGGATCAATATCTTAGCTAGGGGATCAATATCTAAGCTAGGTGGATCTATATCTAAGCCAGGGGGATTTATATCTAAGCCAGGGGATCAATATCTAAGCCAGGGGGATCTATATCTAAGCTAGGGGGATCGATATCTAAGCCAGGGGGATTTATATCTAAGCCAGGGGATCAATATCTAAGCCAGGGGGATCAATATCTAAGCCAGGGGGATCAATATCTAAGCCAGGGGGATCAATATCTAAGCTAGGGGGATCAATATCTAAGCCAGGGGGATCAATATCTAAGCTAGGGGGATCAATATCTAAGCTAGGGGGATCTATATCTAAGCTAGGGGGATCAATATCTAAGCCAGGGGATCTATATCTAAGCTAGGGGATCTATATCTAAGCTAGGGGGATCAATATCTAAGCTAGGGGGGATCAATATCTAAGCTAGGGGGATCAATATCTAAGCCAGGGGATCAATATCTAAGCCAGGGGATCAATATCTAAGCCAGGGGGATCAATATCTAAGCCAGGGGGATCAATATCTAAGCCAGGGGGATCAATATCTAAGCCAGGGGGATCAATATCTAAGCCAGGGGGATCAATATCTAAGCCAGGGGGATCAATAGCTAAGACAGGGGGATCTATATCTAAGCTAGGGGGATCAATATCTAAGCCAGGGGGATCAATATCTAAGCCAGGGGATCAATATCTAAGCCAGGGGGATCAATATCTAAGCCAGGAGGATCAATATCTAAGCCAGGGGATCAATATCTAAGCCAGGGGGATCAATATCTAAGCCAGGGGGATCAATATCTAAGCCAGGGGAATCAATAGCTAAGACAGGGGGATCTATATTTAAGCCAGGGAGATCAATATCCAAGCCAGAAGATCAATATCTAAGCCAGGGTGATTGATATCTAAGCCAGAGGGATTGATATCTAAGCCGGGCTGAATTGACATCTAAGCCTGGCATGATTGATACAAAGTACAGCAATTCTAGTAGGTCAGGATAGGAGTGACATTCTGCAAAAGACTGCTCTTAGTATATGGCTAGCCATTCTGATGAGTGTAACTGAGCCTAATGGATAAACTATTGTGCACTGAAGATGGTCTTCTCAATTTATATATTTTGAAGGCTAGATACTGACTTAATGCACTGTGATACTGGCTAAATGAAATGCGATACTGACTAAATGAAATGTGATACTGGCTAAATGAAATGTGATACTGACTAAATGAAATGCGATACTGACTAAATGAAATGTGATACTGACTAAATGAAATGTGATACTGACTAAATGAAATGTGATAATGACTAAATGAAATGTGACAATGACTAAATGAAATTTGATACTCACTAAATGAAATGTGATACTGACTAAATGAAATGTGATACTGACTAAATGAAATGCGATACTGACTAAATGAAATGTGATACTGGCTAAATGAAATGTGATACTGACTAAATGAAATGCGATACTGACTAAATGAAATGTGATACTGGCTAAATGAAATGCGATACTGACTAAATGAAATGTGATAATGACTAAATGAAATGTGACAATGACTAAATGAAATTTGATACTCACTAAATGAAATGTGATACTGACTAAATGAAATGTGATACTCACTAAATGAAATGTGATACTGACTAAAATGAAATGTGATACTGACTAAATGAAATGTGATACTCACTAAATGAAATGTGATACTGACTAAATGAAATGTGATACTCACTAAATAAAATGTGATACTGACTAAATGAAATGTGATACTCACTAAATAAAATGTGATACTGACTAAATGAAATGTGATACTCACTAAATGAAATGTGATACTGACCTAATGAACAGTAATAATGATTGAATAAACCATGACTGTAGAATAATGTACTGTGATCATGCCTGAGTGTATTATGATTCTGAGAGGATGTAAGCTGCAATGATAATGATGGAATGTACTGTGATAATCATTGAATGTATGGTGATAATGATGGAATGTACTGTGATAATGATGGAATGTACTGTGATAATGATGGAATGTACTGTGATAATCACTGAATGTATGGTGATAATGATGGAATGTACTGTGATAATGATGGAATGTACTGTGATAATGATGGAATGTACTGTGATAATCATTGAATGTATGGTGATAATGATGGAGTGTACTGTGATAATCTTTTAATGTAAGGTGATAATGGTGGAATGTACTGTGATAATGATGGAATGTAAGGTTATAATTGATTGAATGTATTGTGATAATCATTAAATGTATGGTGATAAAAATGGAATGTACTGTGATAATGATGGAATGTAAGGTTATAATTGATTAAATGTATGGTGGTGATGATGGAATGTACTGTGAAAATCATTGAATTTAAGGTGATAGTGATGGAATGTACTGTGATAATAATTGAATGTACTGTGACAATGATAGAATGTACTGCAATAATGATAGAATGTACTGTGACAAATATGGAATGTCCGCTGTACTGGCTAAATGTGCCATGATACTAACTTGTAGTAGCCAATGGCAGACAAGGACACTCTGGCACAGTGAGCAGCAAGAGCCTGCAAAAGTAACATTCAAATGATTATAAACACAGAGAAACCATACCTGTCTGAAGGCAATAAATCAATAACACTGAGGAACCACACCAAACTGCCAGTCAATAAAACAATCAAAATATTGCTGATTCTTAACTTTGGATGAGCCCTTATCTTTCTGACAATAAAAAAATCAGTCACTCAGACTTTGGGGCTGCGTTAGCGCAGCCGATAGGAGACTCACTTTTAAATCCAGCTGCGACTCGTTGCAGCCCACAGCTAGTGTTCGAAAACCAGGTGGTTTCCGGAGTCCATCCAGCCTCTAGGAAATGGGTACCAGAGTTAACACTCTGGGGTAAATGGAGGAACGTCGCTGTAGCTACTAAGTTTCGTGTGGACGACGACACAGGCGGACAGTTTCTTATCAGCTGTCCGTACTGGTGGTGGAGCACTTATGGTTTATAACCGTGTGCAATGACGCTGGATCTCATCTCCTGACTTGACCTTTTGTTAATACTACAAGTAGAAGGAACAGTACATTTCTGGCAGTCAAAACAATCATTCAAACACTGAAGAATATAAATTTAGGAAGAACCCTGTATTTCTGACAGTCAATAAAACCCATAATTTTTGACAGTCAATAAAGCAGTCAATCAAATATTACTGTTTACATGCAAGCAGGAACTATACCTTTCTGATAGTCAATAAAACAGTCAATCAAATATTACTGTTTATATGCAAGCAGGAACTATACCTTTCTGACAGTCAATAAAACAGTCAATCAAATACTGCTGTTTATATACAAGCAGGCCTGGCTCTCTAGCGAAGTTGGCTAAACTGGATTGTGTGGTGACCGGGTGACAAACTCCTTGTGGTCTGGGTTCACGCTCTAGGGTAGGCAGAAAAGCCACAATTCTCCCAGATTTACGGTATTTATCATGGAATCAAGGCCAAAAGGTTGCGATATCCATAATACCGAGCCTAAGGGTTAACAACTCATGGCTTCTGGATACTAAAACAAACAAACAATATACAAGCAGGAACTATACATATCTGATGGTCAATAAAAAAAAAAAAAAAAAAAACAACAAAAAAAGATTTTCTTACCCATTCCTTGAGTGTTTTATCTGGTGCTGCAGCTCTGTATGGAGCCAGTCGCTCTCTCAGAGTTTTACATGCAATCTGAAAGTAGCATTAACATGCCAGCTAGCATTAGCAAATATTTATTGCAGAGACCAACATATTTACATATAAACGAATGAATAAGAAATTGACATAAATGAACTTGGGACATTCCCATATATGCTCCGTCTCTTTCCTCAGTAGCCAGCAAATAGTTCCCATACCGATGGTGCCAGGTGGGACTTGTTAAAAAGTCTGCCTGTTTTCTCTTGCGGAAAGAAAATAATCCAGTCCCTCTGCTCACTCACAGCTGTGTCACTCTCTTCAAATACAACTGCTCTGTTTTGTTGCACTATTTTCTTGATCCCAAAGAGCCTTACCCACATCAGCTTTATCGTAAAGAAGCTCACAACCCAGAGGGGCCCATAACAGCTAATCTGTCAGTCTACTTATTACCCCATCAAAGTTAGTTGTGTATCCTTTTACAGGACGTTGCAGAACCAACCCCAGCTTTTTTTGGCTGTTGTGGTTTTTCTAGACACATTTTACTTCAGTAGTTTGTCATTGCTTTCTGAATGGTCATACCACTGTCAAAACCAACGCAAGACAAACTGTCCGCAGCTGGGATCAAATCCGGCATTACGCAGTTCGCTCCTAACATCAAAGCCACAGATGCCAACAACCTCTATAATTCCCCATAATCCTAGACAGAAAAATTCACTATATGTTTCTTATCCAAGCCTTATTAAGCGACGCAAGCCACTCTGAATACAAGAAACCAGTTTCTATTTTGTAAAGTTTGCTCTGGAAGTAATACTCTCCAGCCATTGACGAGTTGAGTTGAGTTGAGTTGATTCAAAAACCGATATCACAGCACTCGGGGCATTCCCATAAGCGCTCCGTCCCCATCTTCAGCAGCCAGCGAAGAGTTCCAATACTAATGGTGCCAGTAGCATTCTGATTAAATGTCCATCTTGCCTTTCCCCTGAGCCTCGAGCCTCTGCCAGAACCTTCTATCCCTCCCCCCAGTGGCAGTGAGGTTCAAATCCCAGAATGGTCACTAGAATTTTCAATCTTCATGTTGTCCAGTGCATCCTCTTATACAACTTCTTTCCTATGTTTTTTGCAGTAGCCAATAAAGACATTCAAATTTAAATATTCTGTCCTAATAGTTCCTCAGTGAGCGACATTGTAGCTCCCCCCCAAAATATATAAAAGGGAACCTACCATCAAAGCCGCCCCATACAAATCAGAAGACATGCTTGCCGCTGTAGGCCCAGTGTTGGGAACTGAGGCTGTGGAGGTTTCTGCGATGTGTATGGAAGCCACAGGAACATCCAGCTCCCGGCTCACAACCTGTTTGGTGAAGAATTAGGGGCAATTGGCCGCATGTTTCACTAAACAGTATCTTTAGCATGTGAATTTTGAGGCTACAATGTCGGATTTTGTGACTGACCATTTGCCCCCAAGGGTGAGCTGTAGTTCTAGTGTGGGACTGTTCTGGTTGGAACATCTGACAGCTGCCTCATGCATTGTTACTATGCAAGTGCAAGCTTCAAGATTTTGCTGCTACTGACAGGTTTTTTACTACTTTTCAAATGAGACAGTAACAGACATTTTGTGTAATTACCCCCCCCCCCCCCCCCCCCCCAACTGAAACACGAATGGAGCAGTTATGGGGCCAACTTATCTGCAGTGATGTGATGTTAGAACTGTGTCTGTCTGACTGACTGACTGACTAACTAACTGACTAACTATCCAACTATGCAACTTACTGTCAAACTAACTATCTAACAAACTAGTTAACTAGCTATCTAACTAACTAACTAAATAAATAACTATCTAACTAACTATCTATCTAGCCTGCTTTTGGAGTTGGAAAGGAAATATGGAAGAATACTAGTCAATTATACTAACTACAAGATGTGATAACTGATAAAATTAATTTTAAAGGATGATATAAGAAGATAATGAGATCAGGTTCTTGACACCATTTTTGTCATGGCATGAAACGGTGACTGGGCAATCACTGATGATGCATGTTCTTGGAGACTGCATGATGCAAAGAGGCGAGACCCTCATGCTCATTTTGCAAGGCACATACTGATCAACACTGATTCTATAAGAGAATCCATTGATAGTAACTTCCTGTGTGTTAGGCTTCTGATTGATATTTAATAACTAGAAGATTTTGCATACGTTCAAGACGTACAAAACACTACAATTTAAAAACATGCCTACATGTGTTTGTTTTAAATATTTAACATTTGCATCTTGAATAAACAGATTATAATGCAAGCTGAATTGCAAACACTGCTGACACAACTCAGCGTTCAGCGAAGTGTCGTAATGCAGTGGATACCATCTCATTGTGGAGTGCCTGGAAATGAGAAAGCTGATCAACTGGCAGGGAAAGGTGCGAAAAAAGAGCAGCCAGATGTACCAGTCACATACCACCAAAAGAAAAGAATCATTAAGTCGATCAGGAAACCACCAGCCCCAGCACAAGACGACTATTTTATTATGGACTGACCAGAACAAGTCATTATCTTCTGCCTCAGAACAGGGCACAACCGATTACGTAACCACATGTACACAAAATTCAAGATAGGTGTATCCGCCATGTGCACCTGAGGAAATGTGCCCCAGACAGCAGAGCATGTACTCCAGGACTGCACCGATTTTGACACATTAAGGCAAACCTTTTGGCCAGAAAGAACAACAGTGGAACGTAAACTCTATGGACCACTGAATGAACTAACAACGACAGTGAAATTTATACAAGAGACAAAACTGCTGATATAGATAACTTATTTCAGGCGAACGAAAGAAGAAGAAGAATGCAAGCTGAAATTTCTAGCCAGATTTGTTTAGTATTTTAAAACCAAATATAAAAGATGTTACACACAACATTTTGTTTGATACACAAGGACCATAGCTGATCATACATGGTGTGTTGTAAGGGACAGAAAGAGTCAAGGGGCCATTATTTTATTTGCAGGCTAAGATCATTCTTTATGTTCCCACAGTCAAGTAAAGTAAAGATCCCTTTTCACGCTTTTGGCGCATCAGGCATATGGGAAAGCACCCCATATTTTCACAGACCAACTGGCACTAGGTGGGTAATGTGGTCAGCATTACGCCTGCTGTCTTTACTTTCCCAGGACATACATCCTGGTACCCATTTAAGGCTGGGTCAACCTGCGACGCCCCATACCATAATTTTTAAAAAAAACGCAGCCGCATTGGGTTTCAATCACGGTACGTTGGAATTACGAGTTGGACTTGCAGCCCCTAAGCCAAGAACACTGTTTATGTTCCCATACTTCCTCCTTTTTACAATTCCAGACTTCTACAAAAAAAAAAATCTTACTTGAATCATCTTTGTATGCAAACCCTGACCCATTTCAATTCCTCCATGGCTAACGAGAACAGATCCATCCGTGTAGATATGAACCAAAGCTCCTCCCTACAGAAACCAATAGAAATGTTACAGTCAAAGCGTAACATGTCACATCCAAATACCATCTTTGCCTTATTTGTTAGAGGGAAAAACAATACAAAAGAAAATTTAATTAAGATTTTTTTTTTTATTAAATGAAAAGTGATGACACAAATAGAAGGGACTGCTATTAAAAAGTTAAATAATTACAAAATCGTGACTAGAAATCCTCAAGGAGGGCAATTATAAGGCTCAGTGGAGGCCTGTAGATACTCCATGTGCTGTTCGTACTTAATATGTCCGACTTATGTTTTCCTGTGAGTAATTCAATCATTTTCCATGATGCCTGTGATTTGAGTTTTTTTATTATGCAATTCATTTCTTCTGCGTGTGGTCTATTAAAGAATAAAAATATGCATCTGTATTTGTTCATATCTTTTTTTTCTTTTTCCTCCACTCAGCTCCCTAGTTAGAGCTTGTTTTGTGTTCACTACCTATTTTGCTTACTGTTCCTTAATGATAACACGTAGGTGAAATGGTCTGATTACAAGTTAGGTTAGCAAACAGATTTTCTGCACACAACAAATCATTCAGGATGTAAGATCATACAGTTGAGTAATATTAACCCTCTGGAGAGTCTTTTTGGAGTTTCAGGGCCCAAAAAAAGACACATGGAGTGTGTTTCATTACACCTTATATACCATATTGTGGTTATATGGCTTAGAGATTAGTGAATGTGTTTAACAGTTTAATTACACTCGAATACATGGGTTTCATTTCTGTGGTGGACGGTAAAAATATTGTAATTTTTAAAAACATTTTTATGGTTTTTGGACTGTGATACAATAGGAGGGGATTGGGAAAGAGATTGTGGAGGAGATTGTGAACGAGACTGTGGAGGAGACTGTGGAGGAGACTGTGGAGGAGACTGTGGAAGAGATTGTGGAGGAGACTGTGGAGGAAATTGTGGAAGAGATTGTGGAGGAGACTGTGGAGGAGACTGTGGAAGAGATTGTGGAGGAGACTGTGAAGGAGACTGTGGAGGAGATTGTGGAGGAGATTGTGGAAGAGATTGTGGAGGAGATTGTGGAGGAGATTGTGGAGGAGATTGTGGAGGAGATTGTGGAGGAGATTGTGGAAGAGATTGTGGAAGAGATTGTGGAGGAGATTGTGGAGGAGATTGTGGAGGAGACTGTGGAGGAGACTGTGGAGGAGACTGTGGAGGAGACTGTGGAGGAGACTGTGGAGGAGATTGTGGAGGAGATTGTGGAGGAGATTGTGGAAGAGATTGTGGAGGAGATTGTGGAGGAGATTGTGGAGGAGATTGTGGAGGAGACCAAGGAGGAGACTGTGGAGGAGATTGTGGAGGAGATTGTGGAGGAGACTGTGGAGGAGACTGTGGAGGAGATTGTGGAGGAGATTGTGGTGGAGATTGTGGAGGAGACCAAGGAGGAGACTGTGGAGGAGATTGTGGAGGAGACTGTGGAGGAGACTGTGGAGGAGATTGTGGAGGAGACTGTGGAGGAGATTGTGGAGGAGATTGTGGAAGAGATTGTGGAGGAGATTGTGGAGGAGACTGTGGAGGAGATTGTGAAGGAGATTGTGGAGGAGATTGTGGAGGAGATTGTGGAGGAGATTGTGGAGGAGACTTAGGAGGAAATTGTGGAGGAGATTGTGGAGGAGATTATTGTGGAGGAGATTGTGGAGGAGATTGTGGAGGAGATGATTGTGGAGGAGATTGTGGAGGAGATTTTGGAGGAGATTGTGGAGGAGACTTAGGAGGAAATTGTGGAGGAGATTGTGGAGGAGATGATTGTGGAGGAGATTGTGGAGGAGATTGTGGAGGAGATTGTGGAGGAGATAGTGGAGGAGATTGTGGAGGAGATTGTGGAAGAGATTGTGGAGGAGATTGTGGAGGAGATTGTGGAGGAGATTGTGGAGGAGATTGTGGAGGAGATTGTGGAGGAGATTGTGGAGGAGATTGTGGAGGAGACTGTGGAGGAGATTGTGGAGGAGATTGTGGAGGAGACTGTGGAGGAGATTGTGGAGGAGACTTAGGAGGAAATTGTGGAGGAGATTGTGGAGGAGATGATTGTGGAGGAGATTGTGGAGGAGATTGTGGAGGAGATTGTGGAAGAGATTGTGGAGGAGATTGTGGAGGAGATTGTGGAGGAGATTGTGGAGGAGATTGTGGAGGAGATTGTGGAGGATATTGTGGAGGAGATTGTGGAGGAAATTGTGGAGGAGATTGTGGAGGAGACTGTGGAGGAGATTGTGGAGGAGATTGTGGAGGAGACTTAGGAGGAAATTGTGGAGGAGATTGTGGAGGAGATGATTGTGGAGGAGATTGTGGAGGAGATTGTGGAGGAAATTGTGGAGGAGATTGTGGAGGAGATTGTGGAGGAAATTGTGGAGGAGATTGTGGAGGAGATGATTGTGGAGGAGATTGTGGAGGAGATTGTGGAGGAGATTGTGGAGGAAATTGTGGAGAAGATTGTGGAGGAGATGATTGTGGAGATGATTGTGGAGGAGATTGTGGAGGAGACTTAGGAGGAAATTGTGGAGGAGATTGTGGAGGAGATGATTGTGGAGGAGATGATTGTGGCGGAGATTGTGAAGGAGACTGGAGTCTGACCATATAACACTGCTTAAGATAGCAGTGGTAGACTCTTTAGCCAACCTTCGCTGTGGAGATGGCATAGAAAAAATATATACAGCAACCATTTTAAAAAAAAAAAAAAAAAAAAAAAAAAAAAACTCAGCAACATTACCATAAAAGAGTTCTGTATTTGTATGATAATTCCCTTACCTGATTCATTGTCTGAAGCAAAAAAGCCAAGCCATATTTCAGGGGTGTGACTGCCATACCTCTCTTTTTCCATCTGCTTGACTCTGGAAACCACATGTTAACAATTTTTGGTTAGGTTTAAGTTAATCTCCCCAAACAAAGTAGGTCACATTTCATTCACAAGTTTGTTGGGCTGGTCTACTTTCCTGCAGGTTACAGGTGTGCCGCTCTGATGTTTGCTTTCTGGATTGTCTCTAGGGGGGGGGTTGTGTTAGACCCAGTTTGTCAATGTTTTTGAAGGGTTAAAAGCGCTGGTGCGCTGAAATATACAACATGCGATATCAACAGCATTGTGGAACACCTCCAAAACCTTGTGCCATGGTTACGTGGCTCAAGGGCTATGTAATGTTGTGAATTCCCAGGGAAATCCCAGAGAGTTCCCAATTGGGGGGGACAAGGTCAGAGGACCGGTGAAACAAGAGGAAAGCAAAATAAGCAGGTCTCGAGTATCCCATGATGAATAAATAGGGATACGAGGAAAGCGTGAGACTTGAACGGAAGGTGTGAACCCAGAGAGGGTAGAAAGTCAGTTGATGTTTGGACCTGGATGTGTGCAGTCGAATGCGAGAGAACAGCTGAGAAGAATGCAGAATGTCTCCTGATTGCAAGTTTCAATTGTGTACAGGTACAAGGTACAATATGTTAGCATGATCCAGATGTATGATCCAAAAGGTAATGGCAGAGAGAATCAGCATGTGAGATAGTTGGCAATGTCATCAGGAATCAGCCATGCATAGCAACCACAGGAATACAAGTGAGCGCATGGACAGTGCGGTTGTTGGAACAGCCAATAAAGATCAATAACTGAGTGTTCGTCCTGTGTTTTCTTAGTTACTGTGTGCACCTAAGAACGTCAGTATAGCAATGTAACGAGTGAACTCAAACCCCTGGCAGAGCCACATTGCAGTCTAGTAATCAGAAGTGAGCCAGTGTGTAAATAGGCGGGATCTGGGAAGTTAAACATCACTTTTACCCAATTTTTATATAACAAATTATGTGTCACCATCATCATCATCATCATCATCATCATCATCGTCATCAGAATTATCAATTTCCACTTCTGCCAATAAGGGGAGGTACAGATTGCATGATAGGCAGCACTGGCTATAGTCATTCCATGTTGATGTAGAAGCTCTTTAATGTCATCAATCCATGTTCTCCTAGGGTGGCCTCTTAACTTTACTTCAGATCTTTTCATGCGTAGCATCTGGGCTGGTAGTTGTTCTGGCTGCATTCTTACTAAATGACCAAACATTTGATCTTCTGTTTCTCAGTGAATTTGCTGCATGGTGTTGTTCCTACAGTCTGATAATATCATTTCTAACTTTGTCTCGAATGGTTAAATCGGCGGTTTTTCTCAGGCACCTCATTCCACAGGTGTTAATAAATTAATGTGTAATTATACATAATAATGCAATAAATTAGGTGCAGTTTATCATTTAATAATGAAATTTATAATTTTAATGATGAACATAAATGAATTTATTCGAAATAAAATAATTTTCCAGACAAATCAATGAAGATAGCAACCATTTATGTTGTATCAAACAGTAAAAACAACTCATAAAACCAAGAAAAGAATAGTCATAAGTTTTAGTTCTCTTTGACCGCTCTTAGCAAAACAAGTTGAGATTTAGATCTTGTTTTAAAAAAAAAAATTTTTTATTTTACTAGAGAAAACAATTGTGTATTTACAAGCACACTGTCTCTTTTCTTGTTTATATCTTTATAAAGTGCTGCCACCTGGTTGGTGTCCTGTGCAAAAAAAACATTCAAAATATACAATATATTTACAAATGATGGTGATGACATATGATAGTGATGAAAATTACGAAAGCTTTTCTCTTTCTTTCTTCCCCTGTGTCAGAGGTATTGTCTCTCTCTCCCTCTTGTTCCCCCCTCCCCCCACCAATATGTCCAGTTAAAGACCCCCCATGTCCACCCCCCCCCCCCCCCCCCCCCCACCAGTATGTCCAGTTGAAGACCCCCATGAAACAAAGATAAGGCAGGTGGTGGGCAGGTACAGATAATTTTACTGCACAACAGCCCCTATATAGGTGAAGGCCATAAACTTGTGTTGCCAGTTTGTGTCTAAGTCGCTGAGCTGTGGACCTGACTGAATGACTCATGGAAGTAACAGAGGTTGATTATTTTTACAGAAACCTATTTAAATGATGATGACGATGTAGTGTCTGTCAACAGTAATCATAAGTTAGAGAATAGAAACTAATAGACTTTACTGACTGACTTTCTACCCCACCAGGACATCACACAAGCGATAAACACCCGATGACACAAAGTGCCACCATGCGGATGAGGATCGCCGTGGAGAGGTCCCAGAAACCGCGTTCAGACATTTGGCCATATGTATGGCCTGCCCTTATTGCGGCCCCTGGCAAAAGCCAGGGTAGGGCTTCAAATGACAAAAAATTTCGTCCTAATAAGGACGAAAATGGATAAAAATAGACTTTACCATTCTGAAGACTTTAAAAACATTTTTTGTACAAAAGAGATAAAGCATCTAAATATTATGACACTGAATGGCAAATAGAGAAAGATAATAGTAACAGTTAAAAAAAAAAAAAGCATTACTTGTTATATTCCTCTACAGCCTGTTTTCTGTGATAAAAGTCGCTGTTTTTCAAACACTCAGTCCAGCATTTCGTCAGGTTGCAGTCTCTCAGAACTTGACCACAGGGGATGCTGTCCCCTTCTTTGTAGAAATTTATCTCCCTTACCTATGAGAAATTTGATTGAGTAAAAATGAAATAGGGACAGAAAAACTAAGTTGTAAATCTGGAGTATAGATGACTTTCAGTATGTCTAAAAGGTAAACCAAGTGAACCAGAATGAGAGACAAACATGAGTGTTGTCTGTCAGCAAAATATCATGAAGGTGATTTAAACAGATTATGAATTCGTTGTTGCTTCTCACTCTCCCCTTCCCGCTGTTTGCATCTTTGATGGCTCTAAAGATTTATCGTAAGACTATTTTTGAAACTTAGTATTAAAGCTTCATCTCTGTCAGGTGTGCTCCAAGTTTCAGAGCCAGATAAAACGACTTGTCTTAAAGTTTTATATGTTTTGATCTAAGTGTTGCGAGATAAACGTAAAAATATCACAACCTTGCTGTAAACATCAACAAGATATGGAGGAGAAAACGGAGGAGGTAAACAATAATAATAGCCTTCCAAAATAAAAAGGAGTAGAAGAAGAAGAAGCAAAGAAGAAGAAGAAGAAGCAGAAGAAGAAGAAAAGAATAAGAATAAGGAGAGGAATAAGGAGGAGAAGAAGGAGAATAAGATAAGAAAAAGATAAAGGAGGAAAACAAGTTGAAGGACAAGATGAAGCAGAAGGAGGAGGAGGAGAAGAAGAAGAACAGAAAGAAGAAGTTAGTGGTACTGAAGCGTGTTTCTATTCTTATTAAACAGGTTTCTACAAACAGACTCACCTCCTCCTGTGACATTCCCAGGGTGTCCGCCACATGACTGACCCAGTTCTCAGCCATAATGATAGCCTGAGGACCACCAAAGCCTCGGAATGCTGTACAGGAAGTCAGATTTGTTGGGCACAAGTGACCTCTGACCCAGAAGTGTTCAATATTGTACGCACTGTCAATTGCTAGGATGGCAGTCTCTAAAACCTACATAAAAAAAGGACACAGGTATAGCAGACAGCAATATATAGCACTTGAAATTTGATGAAGCTGGCTTTGCCTACATTATTATTTGTGGCCCATTCGTTAAATCTTTCCATAAGTATCTTTCTCTGCCTTCCAGTGCCTCTCTCGTACTAAATATTTTCCAAAAAAGACAATTTGTCTGTTTTACTTAGCCCTTTAATGTGGATCACACATTTAATGTCTTTTCCTTGTGAGATAGTCTTTTCTGGACATGTTATCACAAGGAATGAACTTGGTTACAACTGGCAAGATTGGTTAAAAAAAAAAAAACAGTTGAGGGGAGAAAGAGACAAATACCCAGATGGCTTAGTCATATGAATGAGGCGAGTCAAGAACACTGACATGATTCATGATTCTGGTGATCATGTAAGATGCTGAAACATAATAGCCTATGCTTATCAGCATATGATGATGATGATGACGAAGATGATGAAAATTATGATGAAGATTATGATGATAATGATTTCATGTAGTTTCTATGAGTAATCTAGATCAGTGTTTTTCAACCAGTGGGTTGTGGCCCACTAGCGCGCATGGGAAACAACCAGATGGGTCTCCCAGTATTTATGGCTAATCATTTAATAGAGTTAGGTATCTAGTTCCTCCCCCCCCCCCCCCCCCCCCCCCCCCCCCCCCATTATTGCAGTCTGTAGCAATAAGACTCAAAGATGAGACTTAACAAAGATGTTGATTCCGCTGAAAATAGCAATTTTTGTGACATTAGATTAAACAAATATTCTGCTATCTGAATTTGGTTTTGTTTCTGTGTTTGGTTAGCTGTCAGGTGCGCCACAAAACAATTGTCCCTGTTGTTGTGGGCTGGAGGTGGGGGTAAATGGGTTGAGAAACACTGATCTCCATACTGTATGTAAAAACTGAGCACAAACAAACACAAAGACTCACAGCTGGAGACAAGTCCACAGAGTGGCCCATGTTCAAGTAAAGGTCTGCACTGACAGCCACAATCTTTCCGCTGTTGTTGAAACCAATCTGGAGTTGTCAACATCAACAATACAGCATCCATTAGAAGCATTCCAAGATACACGTTAACAGTCAGAAAACTTTCAATACATAACAAATTTTGTTACACAGATCTGAATTACGCTCCAGATGGTTTCAGATGGCTCGACAGCAGCACAGCTTGACAGCAGGACAGCTTGACAGCAGCACAGCTTGACAGCAGGACAGCTTGACAGCAGCACAGCTTCACATGTTGTAATTGCAATGGACTCACAGATCATGCATGCTTCAGAACATAAAATCTGGCATCCTACACAGAGAGTAGCCTGCATCACTTGATAAGTATGAGATCAGGAGCATATCTTGGATTTTCTGTCCAAACCATTCTGATGTTAGTGGTAATGAGCAGGCTGCTGCCACTCATCTGAGCTATAAGCTACTTTATCATAAAGTGGACATGGTGAAGGCTCTCACAGATCAAGTGGACAGTGCTACAGAACAAAGTATCCATACATTGAAAGAGTAATTTAACTGGGGGGAAAAAAAGGGAGAGGGTGAGCATGTAAAGGTTATGGAAGATATTCATTATACATAATAAACAAACAGACAATGTATTGATCGGCACTCATAGAAAGAAGTACAAATATAGAAGAACATACAAAATAATGTACAAATCAAAAGCTATAGTAACTGTGCTGGGAATCGAACCTGTCAGCTCCAAATGGTGCTTGTGCCTCGCTATGGAAATAAGTGCACTAAGATACATAACCAGCTATGCACCCTTAAAAAAGAATTCTTCATTGACCATGTCTATTGTACAGCTTGAAATCCACAACTAAGGAATATGGATGGAATCATCTCAAACCATTGAAATGGCACCATAGGTTAACAAATTTACAATCCACTTCTTTTCATAGCGAGGCGGACATGCCATCTGGAGGTGACAGTTCAATTCTCAGCATGGTAAGTATATCTTTCAATTTTTATTTTGTCTTGTGGGTCCTTCTATCTTTCTACTTCTTTCTATGAGTCCTGATCAATGCATTGTTATGTTTCTATGGCCTCAATGGTTCCCCCTCTGTTTATTTATGTGGAACATATTTAAAACAGGGCAAAACAGAGGCAGACTTTTAATCAGGTTGCAACTGATACTATTAACAAGTCAACTCTTTATTGGCTACCATGGAAGGAGAGGGAGCATGTTTTAAAATGTCTCAAGTGCAGGATGTCAATTCATGATTTATTCATTCGTTCACTGATACCGTCGACACAGCCTTACTCATTAACATTTAACATATAACCTGTACAACTAATACAACCTTACATGTTAACATTTAACATATAACCTGTACAACTGATACAACCTTGTATGTAACGTAAGCCGGGTGCCGGGTCCCTGTCAAGCACATATCCTCATCCCTGTCAAGGACACACCTCACGGGTCTGTTGGTTCTGAGATTAGAAAAAGATCATTTATCAGTTTCTTAACTGTATCTATAAATTCTACAATACACGAAAATATTTGCCACATCACAGTTGATATTGCTGAAAAAAGTCAAGACAAGGATAAAATATGTTGACATGAAATATCTACTGCTAATAAAATTCCTGATTAAGATAAGATACTGACAAAAATGACCTACCACTGACATAAATGACCTACCACTGACATAAATGACTAACTACTGACATAAATGACTTACTACTGACATAAATGACTTACTACTGACATAAATGACTTACTACTGACATAAATGACTTACTACTGACATAAATGACTTACCACTGACATAAATGACTTACCACTGACATAAATGACTTACCACTGACTTACCACTGACATAAATGACTTACCACTGACATAAATGACTTACCACTGACATAAATCACTTACTACTGACATAAATGACTTACCACTGACATAAATGACTTACCACTGACATAAATGACTTACTACTGACATAAATGACTTACCACTGACATAAATGACTTACCACTGACATAAATGACTTACCACTGACATAAATCACTTACTACTGATATAAATGACTTGCTATTGACATAAATGTCTTACTACTGACAACATAGGATGTAATACCAGTTCTATACAACACTCACTTGACTGCAGCGACTGCACTTGGTAAAACAATACCAACTGTTCTGGTCTCTTTACCGCCAAAACCACCACCTGTAAGACAAACACAAGTATGTACTTACATGTATGTTTATGACAGTTCTGTGACTAGTCCATTCTTCTTCTTCTAGTCCATTCTGTGTAGCCCTAGCATAGTCAAGTCTATCCACAATCTTCTGTCTTGCATACTTTCAATCAGTTTTGACACAGATGATCCTCCATGCCGTGATGTCAGACTGTCCAGGTTCTTCTCTCTGTCTTCCTCCATCTCTTTTTCCATCCAACTTTACCACCATCACAATATACTCCAGTTTTCTCCTTCTTTTGGCATCACCAAACAATGTAGAATGTCTCCTCCTGATGTGTCCTACTACTTCTATCAATGACAAACTTCATTTCTGGTGGCGACTGTTGGCTTTGGCACCTTTAGCAACTGACATATGCATTTACTGTGTGTGTATATTTCTGCCTAGTTCCGGGACTATCTGTTTCTTCACCAGTTTTTCAAATGAGACAGTTGGAGACATTTCATCTCATTTTAACTGTTTTTTCAAATGAGACAGTGAGAGACATTTCATCTCATTTTAACTGTTTTTTCAAATGAGACAGTTGGAGACATTTCATCTCATTTTACCTGTTTTTTCAAATGAGACAGCTGGAGATATTTCATCTCATTTTAAATGTTTTTTCAAATGAGACAGCTGGAGACATTTCATCTCATTTTAACTGTTTTTTCAAATGAGACAGTGAGAGACATTTAATCTCATTTAAACTGGCACAGGAATGGAGAAAGTTTGAAAGAGCGGATTTTCTGACTACAAAAATGAAAGCTACGGGAACACTCGTACTGGACAAAGGACATCCAGGTCTAAACATCAACTGACTTTCTACCCTCTCTGGGTTCACACCTTCCGTTCAGGTCTCACACTTTCCTCATATCCCTATTCACTCACTGTGAGACACTCGAGACCTGTTTATTTTGCTTTCCTCTTGTTTCACCGGTCCTCTGACCTTGTCCCCCCAATCGGGAACTCTCTGGGAATGATTGCTGACAGAAGACGCGAGATTAGATGAAATAACATGTGCAAGGATGTGTGAACGAGGAATTAAGTGTGGATCCTGCAAGGAGGGACGGATGAGAGAAAGAGAAAGTGTGTATAATCAGTATGCTATGGGAACAATTAGCATAGCATCTACACCTTAAGACATTTGCTGCTGGAGACGGAGCATCTATGGGTATGCCTGGTGTGCCATGATGTCGACTCTTAAATCAGTAAGTATGAAATCAGTAAGACTAACTAAATTACATGCATGAAGATAACTAAATTATTAAATGACCAATATTAGTGATAACTAAATTAGCTCTATTAAAGATAACTTAATTACCAATATCAAAGATAACTAAATTAGCTACATTGAAGATACATTGCCGACGATCAATGCATATTTCACAGTGATAGTAAACAGCTGCAAGACCACATAAACCTACTATACGACAGTTGCCTCAAGCATCATATGAAGATCAATACTGAAAAGACAGAAGTCATGAGCATAAGTAGAGAGCAACAGACCATCGACATAAAGATTCTAGATCACAGCCTAAAACAAGTGCAAGAATTTAAATACTTGGGAAGTATCTTTACATCCAATGGTAAAATAGACAGAGAGATCGAAGCAAGAATCCAACAAGCCAACAATGTCACATACCAGCTTGCCCCAATTTTAAAACACCCTGCTGTCCCAGCTGAGATAAAAAGACAAATTATAAATACAATCTTTATACCGACATTAGGTTATCAATGTCAGACTTGGACATTAACAAAAGAACACGAGAGAAGACTAACCACCTGTGAAATGAGATGTTTGAGAATGGCTGCGAATAAAACCAGAAGAGATCGAGTGAGAAACGATGTGATTACAAGAACTATTGGAACCATACCCATCGTTAAATTTATTGAGAAGCAAAGAATTAAGTGGTTTGGTCACCTAATGAGAATGGAACCAACGATGCCAGCATCAAGAGCATACAACATGAAAATCGAAACAACAAGAGGCAGGGGAAGACCAAGAAGAAGATGGATTGAAGGAGTCATGGACAACTTGAGACTTCATAACATCACGGCATATGAAGCGACTGAGCGCGCCCTGGCTCGGTTGCCAATCATCTGATAGACTGCGACGCCTAGCGGCACAAGCAGATTTTGACAAAAGAAAGAAGAAGAAGAAGATACATAAATTAGCTATATTAAAGATAACTCAATTAACTATATTAAAGATAACTAGATTAACTATATTAAAAATCACAAAACTACCTACCAAGTCTTTTTACTTTAACTGTGATGTGGTTGGCAGAGTAGCCCAGTGCTTTCACTAAGGCTTTCTGTGCAATATTAAACACAAGTATAACGTTGAATACATCATATCAATATGAGTATACAAATCAATTATAATTATAAAATACCAGACTCTTAAATATTAATGTTTAAGTAAAATAGAACAGCCTTTTCTGTACCTTAGATATATTACCGCAGGTAAATGGTTCTGACCACAAGTCTTATACACCAATCAGCAGCACTGGATGTGGACAATATCATGCCAACAGTGTGTACTTTCCTCTTCCTCATCTTATCACTGGCTGTGAGCTCCACTGAAAGTTCTGCTTCTCATCCACTTCTGGACTTTAATCTTGTTTCACAACTTGAGTTTTGCATGTGCATCTACTTTACAGATCTGTCTTGATTGTATGAAGACTTATGATGCACATCTATTTTACAGATTTGTCCTAATTGTATGAAGACATATGATGCACTTCCATTTTACAGATCTGTCTTGATTGTATGAAGACAGATGATGCACATCTATTTTACAGATTTGTCCTAATTGTATGAAGACAGATGATGCACTACAACTTTAAAGGAAACACCCCTGAGTAGTCATATTTTGCAACATGCCTGGTAAAGGGCATTGGATCTGTTCTTTGTTTCTCCCTAATAAAAGGGGCTCCAAACCCCACATATGGACTTTACAAAACATTGGGAAGGAAAAAGTGGTGAGGCATATAACTGGTCATCTCACCCCGCCTTAACACGCCCTAACAGAGGACACAAAGGCCAAACATTTCCCAAACCTGTGGTTATCCTGCCTTATTACTTTTTTTTTTTCTTAGTTCAAAACAATGTGAAATATTGATTTTACAACTGGATACACTGAAATGAGAATACATTTTTATTTCATTTCATCATTAACGAGTGGCTTGGATTCCTGTCACAGGGCAACTGACCAAACACAGAGAGCATCACTGAAAGCACAAACTCTATCTCCAGTAATGATCCCAAGGCAAAAGAAAAAAACAGGAAGCACACAAACATTCTGTAAATAGACCCACAGTCTTCCTAATGCAGAGTGCATAGCTTCAATACTTTCTTCCCTGTCTGGGTTCTGGATCCAACTGTAGGGAGCAAAATGAATACCCACCCTGTCCCCTAACAAACATATTGTAAGAGTCGACTATTTGTGGATGTTTTCTTCAAAGTCAAAGTGCACTTGAGTGAGGTGCAAAGAACCAACAGTCTGCATATAAATAAGCTAGCTGTGTGCGGATGTGTACACAAAATTCAGATTCTGGAACAAGCCTAAAGTCCAGAAGACTTTACAACCATAATTTTCTGCTGCAGTTTACAGTTGGTGACCTTGAAAAAAAAAAAAAAGAGACGCATTCTCACAGACCCCCAAGGTCTGTTAACTAGCAACTGAGATGTTCAGTGATGAATTTACAAATGATAAGATGTTTTTGAAAGAAGAGTGTGTACCTATGCTGTTCGACACGCGATGTGATGGTGTTAATGATGAATCTCCCATGAAATAATTACCTGCATCTGCGTTGGGGACTGAGAAGTAGCCACAACTTCAATTTCCCCAACATCCTTGGGGTAAACAACACAACCTTGAGGCTCCAGGTAGAAGTGCTCCTGTGCCGACACATGCATGTCTCCTTCAACCACATGCTCACATGTGGAAAATGCAAGCTCAGCATTTCCCCGTTGTATCTGTGGGTCAGGGGAGAAATGTTTTAGAGCTGAAATGACTTTGTTTTATGTTAGTCACAGCAGTAAAGAAAACAAGCAAAGAACCCTTTTAATGGTCCAGGTGTACAGGTGTACACCAGGTGCTTTCCTGTTCTGTGCAATCTTCAGTGCAGTTTTCCATGTCAGAAATGAAGCACTCTTCACTTTCCATCGTTCATCTCTATTTTATTTTTCAGCACCCCTTCTCTCTTTTTCCCTTTGGAGTCCAAGTGGGATCTGTTTTGGATTAATATGTTAAGAGTCATATAGTCTACAGACTAACTTTGTACTTGATAGGGGGAAATGCTGTCAGCATTACACCGTCTGACCTTACTTCCGAGGAAATTTTCTAGTATGCTGTTGTAGGCTCGGTAATCTTGGAATCCCAAAGTCAATGATAAAAATCTCCTCTGATGCTGATTTAGTCTCAAAACCATCAGTTTTCTTCATGTCTAGTGGCACATGAGATTTCAGAGAGGACTTTCCATGCTTTCCTGTCCTGTGCAATCTTCAATGCAGTTTTTCATGTCAGAAATGAAACACTCTTCACTTTTTTTTGTTCGTCTCTATTTTGTTTGAGTGCCCCTTCTTTCTTTTTCCCTTTGGAGTCCAAGTAGGATCTGTTTTGGCAGGTATATCAGGATTCATTCTTATGACGTGGCCAAGCCATTTCCATCTTCTCTTTGTTATCATACTGTCTAGAGTTTCTTGGTTTGTGACTTGAAGTAGTTTAGTGTTTGAGATTGTATCTGGCCAGAAAATTTTGATAATTCTACGTAGACATGTGTGGTGGAAGGTGGATAGCTTGTGTGTATCCTTTTTGGTAATTCTCCGGCATTCTGCTCCTTAAAAAAGAACTGGTAAAATGATGCTCATATAGAGTCTGAGTTCTGTTCCTCTGCAGTAACTGTTGGATTTCCAGATGTGCTTCATCCTTCCAAAAGTGCTCTAGCTTTTTTCAAGCGTGACTGTATGTCTTCCACTGTTCCTCCCAGTAGGGACACCACACTACCAAGATATGTGAAATGTTCTACATTTTCAAACGTTTGGTTATTTATGGTCACTGATTGTTGGTTTGGACTGCTTGTCATGATCTTAGTTTTCTTTGTATTTATTCTCAGTCCCACCATTTCTGCTGTACTGTGGTGCCTGTTACTTTTCTTTTGTATATGTTCATGTGTTATGTGATAGGAGTGCTATATCATCTGCAAAATCAAGGTTTTTGAGCATGGTTAATAGAGTCCATTGTATGCCTCTCAATGTCTTGTCTACTGTGTTTGTTAGTATCTAATCAATCCCAAGGTTAAAAAGGAGGGATGACATAACACATCGCTGTCTTACACCTGTCTTTACTGGGAAAGATGTGTTTAATGTTTTTATACTGAAGAAAAGTCCTTACAGAAGAGAGCACTTATGTTGACTATCTTTAATAGAATTCCATAAAGTTGTAATATTTTCCAGACTGTCTTTATGGACGCTGTCAAAAGCTTTCTCAAAGTCCACAAAATTAATATATATACTTCTCTGCCAATCATTGCATTATTCTAAAATGTTACGTAGGGTGAAGATGTGCTCAGCTGTTCCTCTACATTTTCTTAATCCTGCTTCAAAAATCTTTGCTTGTTACTGAGAGTTAGAGTAATTCCCCTCCAATTATTGCATTCTATTAAATCTCCTGTTTTGTGTGTGAGGTGAACTATTGTTCATTCAGTCCAGTCATCAGGCTACACTTCTTTTCCCAAATATCTCTTAACAATGGTTCTAGAATGCTAGCAGTTTGTTGGGGTCTACTTTGAGGATTTCTGCTGGCAATTCGTCTTTGCCTGGTGCTTTGTTGTTCTTTAAAGTGTGGACAGCTTTAAAGATTTCTTGTTTGCTTGGTGGTTTAATGCTTCTTCTTTTTTTCTTCTTCTTCACGTTCACCAGCTGTAAACTCTGGCGGAAGGTTCTGGTTGCTCGTCCACTACTGAACTGCAGTCCTGCTCCAGAACCTGAGTGTTGCGTGTGCATCAGTTTTACAGATCTCATTCTCTTGAATACAGACTGTTGGTTCCTTGCCTCTCCGGCAGATGCACTCTGACTTCAAAGGAAGCTTCCCAATTAGTCGACTCTTACGACATGCTTTTGGGGAGGCAGTGGGTCTATTCTTGTTTTCCCCACAATGGGGCCCCGGAACCCACACGGGGGGGTTTAATACTAATGTCAAGGTCCTGAGAGGCTGGTTGAATATCTAAGGTGTGTTTAGCATCAGGTCTACACCGACTAACATTACGTCCGAGGATATTTTCTAGTATCCTGCTTTAGGCTGGGTTAACTTGGAATCCCAAGGTCACTTACAAATTACATTGGCGTACAAATTACATACATTATACAGGACATCACACAAGTGATAAACACCCGGTGACACAAAGTGCCAGCATGCCGATGAGGATCACCCATGGGGAGGTCCCAGAAACCCTGTTCAGCCATTAGGCCATATTTCAGGCCCGGCTATATTTAGGGCCCCCGGCAAAAGCCAGGGTGGGGCTTCAAAATAACTAAAAATTGCATTCCATGTGGGGATGAAGAGATATTGTTTCTTGTACAACTGAATACTACTTTTTTTTTTTTTTTAAATGGTGAAACTTCAGTGCCTAATCTAGGCCACAAAGAAGACACATCTCTTGTAGTTATCCTCCTACTTGTATTTCTGTCTGCCTCTTGCATGACTGCTTTCACTATTTCCAACCAGTATAATTTTTGAGTTGAGTTGATTCAAGAACCGACATCACAGAACTTGGGGCATTCCCATAAGCGCTCCATCCCCATCTTCAGCAGCCAAGGAGTAGTTCCGATACTAATGGCGCCAGTATAGCTTTTATAAGAGTATTAGGACTTTTAATAGTGCAAAATAATTATTGTTTCTTTTTCCTCCTTCGGTAAGTCTCTTTTCGCTCTTTCATTCTATCTCTTCAAAACTTCTGCTTTTGTCCTCCCCTCTCCTCCCCCATGAAATACTACCTATTATTCTGTATATCCACACTTTTTTCTGTAACACAATATAGTTATGTACTAATGGTAAAAACATAATAAACTGGATACTGTCATAATCAGTCAAAATGATTCATGGACAAAACTGCGATTAGCAAAGCAACATTCTTACTTTAGCTGCAGTCTGAAAAGACTGTTGTTTGTCAATAGACTGTTTGATTGTAACAATTGGCTCCAAATCTTCATAAACCACTTGCACACAATGTGCTGCCCTCTGTGCTTCAGCATGTGTTTCGGCAACAACTGCAGCAATTACCTGGCCTTCGTGGGTGACCTAATGTTAAAGAAACACTGAATAATAGTATTTTACCTCATTGATTTGTCTTTTAAAAAAAAAAAACTTTAACCAAATCATATTTCTTAAAATGAAAAAACTGAGCATAACATATTAGTAATAGTAAGTGAGAAATTTAAAACCGATGGAGCGAGGAAATGAAGATATTCCAGAGAAACCCTGAGATGAATGTTGAGAGAGGCCAAAGTGCTGGACTGGATTCCATGTATGATGTTGAAAAATTGCACTGGACAGAATGGATTCTGTAAAGTCCCTTAAACTGCTAGTCTTATGGTGACGAAATGAAAGGGACAACAAATATGATGATAATGGTGATGAAGTGAGTAAAAGATCCTTTTTTGATGGCATGAGATATACTGGGTTTAGAGTTGTAGCAGCGTATTTCCAGAAAAATCAGTCCTAAATTAGAGATGTGGTCAATAATATGCAGGTTAATATTTTAGGCTGGGGTTATGTGGAAGCCCAAATTAGTTGAAATTATTTTTATCTTGATGGGGATTTCAACAGGTTAGTATAAAGACTGAAAATCAAATAGCACACACAAAATCAAATGTTCGCACACAAAAAAGTACTTTTGAACAGGTTAGTATAGTAGCTGAAAATCAAATAGCACACACGAAATCAACTGGTCGCACACAATAAAGTACTTTTGAACAGGTTAGTATAGTAGCTGAAAATCAAATAGCACACACAAAATCAACTAGTCGCACACAATAAAGTACTTTTGAATAAACAATGAGAAAAGTACACTAGTTAACAATAAAAAGAGTATCCCAAGCTACAAACATAACTTTAATCTAAGCATGATCATTTCTTGACTGAACCATTACATAAAAAAAATTACAATACAGTTCTTTTCAGTTACACAAAAGCAGACAAAAGTCATAAATACTTGTAGCATTGTGAGTGTATTAGACACTACCAAACGATGCAGTACATATGAGAAGATAGTTTACTGATTACTGCTTCAAGAATAGTCATCACAACACATCAAAAACACCCATAAAAGCTTCATGTCCCACAGGCAGTGTCTTAAGGTGATGCTTACTGCTCCCATAACATATCTATTTTATATACCTGCACCCCTCTTCCTCCTCTCAAATGTCCCTTACTGCCTGATCCACTGCTTATTTCTCGTTCACACATTCTTACATGTAATATTTTATCTAACCTCATGTCCTCTTTCAACATTCATTCATAAATAATCTTCAGAATGTCTCCTCTGTCACTTATGAGTGTTCCTGTAGCTATCACTTTTGGAGCTAAAAAGATCTGCTCTTTTGTTTATCTCTTGCACGCTTGCATTCCCAGACAGTACATCCACGTGAGTCCCTGTAATACTGATGTGCTGAGGCTTGGTATTCATTCATGCCACATTTCTCTATTTTGAACCTGGCTGTAGAAGATCAGCTTGTCTGACGCAAACACCAGATAATTTCTGCTGCTCTAGCCTTGATGAGAGAGATACAGTAGCATACGTTTTTTCTTATAGGTTTGCCCTTAACAGGCAGCTGGTACAATATGTTGCAGTTTGCAGATAGGCTGTGATATGTATCCCTTTTAACCCACTGCTGGCTGCATGGATTTTTATCATGGTATGGGGCGTCGCAGCTCGACCCAGCCTTAAATGGGTACCAGGATGGCTTTCCTGGGGAAGTAAAGACGGCCGGCATAATGCTGACCACATCACCCACCTAGAGCCGATTGGTCTGTAAAAATATAGGTGCTCTTCCCATATGTCCGATGTGCCTAAAGGCGTGAAAAGGGATCTTCAATTTTTACTATTACTATGTATCCTTTTTGGTACAACATATTCATTTTCATCCATCCCTAATAAGTCGCAGTGGTTCTATTATTTTCCCTTCAAAATGGAGGTCCAGAATACATAAGGGGAGGTAACACAGTGCAAGTAAACCTGTCAGTGGTCAAGTGTTGTAAGACTCCCTGAATTAAGATTATGTTTAAAGAACTGGTCTAGGCTTCTCAATCAACCCTGCTTAAAATGTTTATTGGGAAATGTTAAAGGAAGACAATGTGGCTGGTATGACACTGACCGCATTATTCTGTGAGTACCAGCTTGTCTAGACAACAAGAGTCTGACCCCATGTGCTGCCCTCTACACTTCAGTGCAAGTAAAAGTCATTTAATTGTCCCCCCTGCATTTGGCATGGAAATATAACCTGAATCCTAACATAGTGGTAGTAGTTTAAATAACAGTATCTTGTCTGATCCATCTAGTTAATATAGTAGTAGTTTAAATAACAGTATCTTGTCTGATCCATCTAGTTAATATAATAGTAGTTTAAATAACAGTATCTTGTCTGATCCATCTAGTTAATATAATAATAGTTTAAATAACAGTATCTTGTCTGATCCATCTAGTTAATATAATAATAGTTTAAATAACAGTATCTTGTCTGATCCATCTAGTTAATATAATAATAGTTTAAATAACAGTATCTTGTCTGATCCATCTAGTTAATATAATAATAGTTTAAATAACAGTATCTTGTCTGATCCATCTAGTTAAAATAATAGTAGTTTAAATAACAGTATCTTGTCTGATCCATCTAGTTAATATAATAATAGTTTAAATAACAGTATCTTGTCTGATCCATCTAGTTAAAATAATAGTAGTTTAAATAATAGTATCTTGTCTGATCCATCTAGTTAATATAATAATAGTTTAAATAACAGTATCTTGTCTGATCCATCTAGTTAATATAATAATAGTTTAAATAACAGTATCTTGTCTGATCCATCTAGTTAAAATAATAGTAGTTTAAATAACAGTATCTTGTCTGATCCATCTAGTTAATATAATAATAGTTTAAATAACAGTATCTTGTCTGATCCATCTAGTTAAAATAATAGTAGTTTAAATAACAGTATCTTGTCTGATCCATCTAGTTAATATAATAATAGTTTAAATAACAGTATCTTGTCTGATCCATCTAGTTAATATAATAATAGTTTAAATAACCTTTTGTCTGATCCATCTGGTTAACATAGTAGTAGTAGTAGTTTCAATAACATCTTGTTTCATCCATCTGGTTAACATAGTAGTAGTAAAAAAGTAAAGTAAAGGACCCTTTTCCATGCCTTTAGGCATATAGGGCTAGACATATTTTTAAAGACCAATCGGCACAAGATGGGTGATGTGGTCAGCATCACACCGGCCACCTTTACTTCCTGGGACTGCACCCGGTACCCTCTCAAGGCTGGTTCAACCTGGGAGTCAAGGTCATTTTTGAAAATAGTAGTAATAGCTTAAATAACAACATCTTGTATGATCCATCCGGGTTCTAACTGGGATTACAGTGTTTTTTCTTTTGTTTTGGTAATGGATATTTATGTCTGTCAAATAAGTTTGGTTACAGCTTATGTTTTAAGGGTATAAGATTCTAGGAGTACAGATTGTCAAGTTCAATAAATTGTAAGCGTACTTTCAACAGTTATAGTAATTGTATTGTGCAGTCTATCATTGCAAATATTTAAAATGATATAGGATATCATTAATCCGTCTTTTGATATATTAACATTTCATACGCTAATCCCTGTTCTTGTTACTTGTGACGTACTGTTTAATCCTTCTCTATAGTTCTATAGAGCAATCTGCTCCCATGTTCGCTGTTGTCATATGCTTATTGTAGTGGATCATATATATTCCAACAGCTCTGATGACCTCTGAGTTATCTCACCTTGTCTCTAGCAAAAACACGCTCAGATGGCTCAAACTCATTCTCCTTGGGAACATCCCCGTGGTCTATTATATCCACCACACCAGGCATTGACAGTGCAGGTGAAAAGTCAACTGTGACCAGTCGAGCATGAGCTCTCTTGCTAGTCACCAAACCAAGAAAGAGCTCACCTAGGAAGATCACAACAGTAACAAAATTGAATGACTTTTCTTGTCTGTAAATATATATATGAGAGTAAAAAAATAGCTTATTAACATGTGTAGTAAACTAAAAGGACCCTCTTCCACACCTTCGGGCATACTGGGCACATAGGGCTAGACCAATATTTTATAGACCACTCGGCACTCGGTGGGTGATGTGGTCATCATCAGGCCAGCCGCCTTTACTTCCCAGGACTGTACCAGGTATTCATTTAAAGCTGGATCAACCTGGGAGACAAGGTTGTTTTTAAAACAGGTCCGGCTTTATTCAGATTTGAACCCACAACCTTCGGATTACCTGTCAAGTGTCCAGCCACTATGCCACATATATAGAGATTCAATTAATTAGTGTTAAGAATTAATAAGCTGGCTGAAGGGTTAACAATGCTGGGCTGTCATGCAGAAGACCCGTGTTCGAATTCTCATTAGGGGTATGAATTTTTTCTTTTTAGGGCCAAAAACATTTACTTACCTACACAGTCCATGGTGACAGCATTAGCCATGTGGTCTTGAATCCTCAGGCTTAAAGTCCCTACTACCTCATCAACATCAAGTGCCTTGCCAGCTGGAGTAAGCAATCATGCATCTCCACAGATCTGGGCCTTTAGTGTTCTGGATCTATTCCACTGATAATATTTTTCTATGCCACTGTCTTAAGCCATCCACGATCCTTTCTCTTAGTCTGCCTCTGCCTCTTCTTCAGTGATCTTTCCAGTCATCACAATATTTTTCGAGTGCTCATTTTTGATCACATGACCGAAGAACTCTCTTTGTCTCCCTATTGTTGTCCCTACTACCTACTCACCAAAACTGGTAAATATAGGCAGTAACGGCAACTTTTAATGATAACTAATTGTACACTGGCAGAAAACTGCACAAAAGCATGGAATCCGTAGCTCCAGTGATGATACCTGGAAGAAATCCATTAAAACTGCCCCCGTGGTGCGATGCAAATAGCTTGATGACTTAACCACAGAGATTCCCCCCACACAAATATAAAAGGCACACAAAGAATGAAGTTGAACCCTACTAGGTCAGCAAACTGAGCGATTTAACACCTGGCAACCCAAAGGGTCACTATTCAGATAAGAATCCCCAATGTACAAATACACCATTCAACTGTAAGGTTATACTGGGGCTCTGAGCAGTTTAAAGGTAAAGGAAAAGGTGAAAGGATCAACTTCATGGCAACGGGTTTTTATCCCACATGGTGCAGTCTCTGTCTCAGCAGAACAGCTAGCTTCCTGCCAAGAGCATCAAAACAGAGCACGACCTCCACAGTTCCAGTGATGATCTCCAGGTATCTCCCTAAAAATTGCACTAGTGAACTGAACACTGCTGTCGTGAAATGAACTCATGACTTTCAGAGCTTGAGGCAAACGGTTTGACCACTTCACCACAGAGACCACCCTGACAGTTACAAAGCAGCCCTGAGTCTAGACAGGGTAAGGCTGTAGCATACAAAAAGACACTGTCCTGCAGTTGATACCTGATCTGTCACTGCAAGCTACAAGAGAAACAAGAGAAGCCTAAAAATCTTAAAGGCATAAGTTTATGTTCAGGCTGAATTGCTCTTTCCTGTGTGGCCTCATTTTGGGGGGAAAATATTAGACCAGGAGAAAAAAATTGACCCATTGTTCCCCTAATCCCTTTGAAATCACAGTGAATCTGCCTGACAGACAAGGAACCAACAGTCTGCATTCAAAAAAGCTTGTACTGTAAAACAGATGTGCATCCAAACGTCAAGTTCTGGAATAAGACCAAAGTCAGAAGTGGAACCAGAACTTTCCACTGAAGTTTACAACCAGTGAACATTATAAAGAAGAAGCCTTGCAACTTTTTTCAGAGCTCATTGAGGGTTCTTACAGGAGGTGCAGTCTGTACTCTGTGTGATGTTCCCAACAGGCAAACAAGTACCTTAAATTTTGTTTTGCTAAAGCAGTTAAGAGACAACAGACTGCAAGCAGGACCCAAAATAATCAATTTGACAAACTTAAAAAAAAAAAAAAACAATTAATACATTTACCTTGAGCGACGGGTAAATCATCCAGATAAATTGCCTCCCCTGTGCACTGTGCATGCGCTGATCTGTGCACTAGTGGTCTCCCAATAGTATCTGAAGAAGAGAGCGGTTTATTTGGGGAACTGTAAAACTGACTTCCTCGACTGATACTCCGGCCGAGTGGCTCACTTGCACTGGCAACCTCTGCTGGTATACTCTCACTGATGACTTTCTGTAAAGGCAATTTTTAAAATAAAATATATATATATATATATAGGCTTTAACTCATGTCTAGCTAGCAAATGCACTGTTTTATAATTAATTACTCATTGCGTAACTATAATACCGTAGACTTTTTCTAATTCTATGAGACATAAAGAAATTATAAAACCTTGACCTAGTTTGTTTTATCTGTCTGATTCTCAGTTAAGACAGTAAGTAAAAGTAAAAAAGTCAAGATCCCTTTACACGCCCTTAGGCGAATCGGGCATATGGGAAGAGCACCCATATTTTTACAGACCAATCGGCACTCTGTGGGTAATGTGGTCAGCATTACGCCTGAGTTAGGACAGTGGAAGGTTAAAAATGAACAAATGTGGCAGGAGTGGATGCCAAGCATCGGCACATCAACATGACTGACTGACTTTCTACCCCACTAGGACATCACACAAGCGATAAACACCCGATGACACAAAGTGCCACCATGTGGATGAGGATCGCCGCGGAGAGGTCCCAGAAACCATGTTCAGACAAATGGCCATTATTTGGCCTGCCTATATTGCAGCCCCTGGCAAAAGCCAGGGTGGGGCTTCAAATAACAAAAAAATTTCATCTTAAAAAGGACGAAACTGGATGTGATATTAGGCACATCAACATTACAGGGACTGGTTGATATACTGCGAAGGACGAAGGAGCCGATTTTGTTTGCTGCAAAGGCGAAAGCTAATGGAAAACTTGTGCTGGATAAAGGAGACATTCTGAAGACCATTTATGAACAAGTGCTGACAGGAGGTTAGAGAAATAACATGGGTAAGAATGTGAGAACGAGGAATAAGAAGTGGATCTGGGGAGGAGGAATTTAAGGAAGAGAACAATGGGTGTATAATCCATGTCTAATGGAACAGTTAGCATCTACACCATAACACACTTAGTGCACAAAACAGAGCATGGATGGACATGTTCAGTGTGTGCTGTGATGTCGATTCTTAAATCAGTAATCATCTTACCTGTTATTTTCAACGTCACTGTCACATTAATGCTTTTTAAGTTTGCAGCAGTTTCTGATGCAATTCCTTCTAACCTAATATATCATTTGTCAAAATAGGAAGCAACTTTTTTTCTTGCCAAAATCTTGCACTAAAGTGTTATGAATGGTCTCTCTATTAACACCAGATGCATCTGCACAGTACAACAATAATCTCCTTGTATCCGTTCTCTGACTTTTGCAACGAGTTCATCATTACGAACATAAATTTTGGCGTCCAGGTCTAGGTGCATTAGTAATCATTACCACATCACTTTTGAATCGTGAATACCACCTGAAAATTTGTGCACGAGAAAAAACAATTATCCCCATAAACTTGTTGCTTTAATTCAACTGTTTCAATCGGCACTATTTCTAGGTTTTAAAAATAATTTAATGTTAGCTTTTTGCTCCATGCTGATTACGTAACAATACACCTCTGACTAGGTCAACAAAATGGCGGCTTGTTTGTTGTCTGCTTATCGAGCAACGATGAAAAGCTGCCAGTTCATAGATAAATGTTGCCTCTTTAGATTCCTGCTTTGCTTCATAGATGGCATTTTTGTCTTGACTATAATAAAATCAGTCTCATTACTTAATTGACGGACTTTGTATAACCTGTGTGACTTGTACCTATTTCAGTATTTTGACTAACCACTACTGGTAAACTCTGTGTGTGTGTGTGTGTGAGTTGTTTTAATTTGTCCTCTTCAGAATCGCAGACTGCAGGAATAATATGTCAAAGATGTGAATCAAACAGGTTCAAATCCCAGAAACCCTCTTCTTATAATCTTTTTCTTCTTCTTCTAAACTTTCTTTTAGTTACTTCATCAAAGTTTTAGAGAAAATGGCTGGGGGGGGGGGGGGGGGGGGCGGGTGGAGAGAGAGGGAAGATGGAATTTATGTGTGTTCTTTCCAACGTGGGGTATAAGTTAGTTCAACTGTAAAAATACAAAAGTAAAAAACAGTTGTACTAGAGCGGCGGACAGTTACTAAATAACCAGCAGTATAGGTTATGTCCCTTTTCCACGCCTTAAGGCACATTGGGAATATAGGGCTAGACCTATATTTTTATAGTGGGTGATAGGGTCAGCATCACACCGGCCGTCTTTACTTCCCAGGACTGCACCCTGGTACCCACTCAAGTCTTGGTCGACCTGGGAGTCAAGGTCATTTTTGAAAAAAAGTCCCGCTCCATCAGGACGCGAACCCAGGACCTTCCGATATTCAGGCGGGCGTCTAGCTGCCAATGCTATGATGACTCCGCGTAAAGATTATGTGGGTATACAAAATACAGTTACTGCAGGTTTGTCTCTAACATGTGTCTAGAACCCTAAGCTCAAAACCTAAATAAAAGTGAGAAAATTATAAGGATTTTTTAGTTTAAAAAAAGAAAGCTTACCTTTTGCATGTGGCAGGTGACAGCAGTATAAAATCGGAAGAAGAAACTGAGTGTAAGGGTCCTCCTGTAGGCAACACTGCCACCTGGTGAGCCAGGGGCCAGGTACAAGTCAGTGGGTAGCATCTCTGCTGCACAGGCAATCTCTACCACAGACTCATCCCACTTTCTGAGGCAATTCAGGTTGTTTGTGGAAAGATTCACCATATTAATTGTTTTATTTGGAAAGAATGACCCTATTAATTGTCTCATTTGCTTTAATACTTATGTGTGTGGAAATGAATCACTATATTAATTGCTTCGTTTGTTAGAATAGTTATGAATGTGGACAAATCACCATATTATTTGATTCTTTTGCTAGAATAAATATGTATATGGAAAGAATCACCATAACATTCTTTTTACTAGAATAATTATGTAGGTAGAAAGAATCACTGTAACTTATCATTTTCCTAGAATAACTAGGTATGTGGAAAGAATCACCATATTCTTTTTTTTTTTGTGTGGCTAAAAAAAGTGTCATCATTAAAACCAGAAATAGGATAAGGGCACAAATCTGTCGACTCAAAAGTAGCCTGTTTCAATGCAGTGTTCTTCAAGCCATGGTCTGTGGACATTTCTAGGTGGTCAGCTACAGGGTTCTGCTCAGTCATGAAGTGGTTTCATCATTCGCGTGCTATACTGCTGCTGAGCTTTTTTTTTTTTAAATCCACATTTGTATTTGTTTCTGTCTAAATCATCTAAACGAGCAGCTAGTCCACAAAAATAGTTATAATGTTTGCTGTCTATGTACCTCATAATTTGTAATAAGTAAAAGTAAAGTAAAGATCCCTTTTCACGCCTTTCGGCGCATCGGGCATATGGGCAGAGCGTCCCATATTTTTACAGACCATCAGCACTCTGTGGGTAATGTGGTCAGCATTACGCCGGCTGTCTTTACTTTCCCAGGACAGCCCATCCTGGTACCCATTTTAGGTTGGGTCGACCTGCGACGTCCCATACCACGATAAGAATCCACGCAGCCCGCAGTGGGTTTCGATCGCGGTATGCTGGCTTACGAGTCGGACTCGCAACGCCTTAGCCACAGACGCCGCAATTTTTAATAGTCATGTTAAAATAAAAAAATACAAATAAAAAGATCCATATAACAATCAAAAAAAAAGTTTTGATTTAAAAAGATATCATCGGCCCTTTAAACTTTCACTGGTTATACTTATATATTAGGCAGAGGCTGTAAATTTGGTGTTCTGTTAGATGGAGACAATCTCATCCACACATGTCGCAGTAATGAACTCACAAAGCATGTTTAGGAAAATATAATCAGGCTTCTTCGTATGGAAATGGGTCACATGAATCCAGAAATTTTAGGTGGTTAAAGTCACATGGATTTTGTGCCAGTGTGGCTGGTAATGAGCAGGCAGATAGGTTGGCTGGACCCTCCTCAGTGGAGTTGGGCAGTACTACAAGTGCACAAGGCAGAGGTGATCTCTCATGTGAGTGATGAGGTACCAAGCAAAATGGAAGATACTGAAACTCAAACCTAGAGAAACTGATGCAATGTGGTGTGTCTGCAGGCTTTGGGTGCCACTTGAGACCCGTGGTGGGGGGGGGGGGGGGGACAAGATAAAGAGTTAACCAGATAACAATGGACACCATCGGTACAGAGACTCCCTGCTGACTGTTGAGGGAAGAGACGGAGTTAACATGGGCTTGTCCTGAATGCTGTGACATGGAATCTTTCCCCAGATGAACAGACAGCATAACAAAATGGTAGGTTACTTATCAGCTGATCAAGTGGCATTACCATTCTGACAAATCATAGATCAGTGGTTCTCAACCTTTCTTATGACCCAACCCTTTAATATAGTTGCTCATGTTGTGGCGACCCCCAGCCGTACAAATAATTCTGTTGCTACTTCATAACTTGAGTGAATATGTATTTCCTGATGGTCTTAGTCGGCCCCTGTGAAAGGGTCTTTCGACTCACAATAAGGTCATAACCACAGGTTCGGACCCGCTGTCCCATATTAATGGTGTGCCTGTTGAGATGATATGTTTTACTTTATGTGTGACGATTTTTATCTTGGCCATAAAATAATCAATTACCTATTTTCTGTTTTAATATATTAGTGTGTAATAACACATCTCATACTTCAAGAAAGCATATCTACATTTAATTTTGAGAGCATGCATCTTTCCTGAAGCAACATACGGATGTGAGTCCTGGACTATCTCCAAGTCCTTAAGAAAGAGAATAGGTGCTATAGAAATATTCTCAGAATATCTTGGACAAAGAAAAGGAGAAATACTGACATCTTGAAAGATCTGAACATCTTAAGACTGGCTAATAAACAGCATCCTGTCTTGAAAGCTGAAATATTTTCCTTATATAAAGAGCAATGGCAGATTGGAAAAAATAATAGCAGAAGGCATGGTACCAGTTAGGAGGGGCATGGGCCGACCAACAGGAAGATGGGCACAGAATATCAGTGACTCCTTGAGTATAAAAGTACATGAGGCGGGAGAGTTGGCGAGAGACTGAGTTTCTTTCAGGCAGACCTTGATGAGAGCGACGTTCTGCAAAGGACCTGCTACATAATGATGATGATATCTACATACATAGTTTTAAGCACACTAACCTGCCCTTCAAGGCTGCCATCGTTTTTGTCGCCAGTAAAGTCTTCACCGACATGCCACCAAACGCTAAGGTGATGTCTTCTATATGTGTTCCTGTGTCACCAAGGTCAACTCTCATGCCAGAATTCACTATAGCGATGTCATCTTCTTTACGATTGGCCTGCTTGTAGCCAAAGAAGTATTCATTCTGAAACAATATCATTCTGAAAGATTAATTTAGACATTTTATGGGTGTTTCCCTCCTGTTCTTCTGCCATTTCAATGTATGGATTCTTTGTGTGAACAGACAGAAGAGAATCCATACATTGAAACACTAGCTCAAGAGTGAATAGAGGTTCCGGAAGATATTCAACTCTGAGGGAGAAACACAGAGTGACTTCAGTCAGTCTGCAACAGGCACTGTTAGCATGTTGACTCTTTACTGGCTACTGAAGATGGGGATGGAGCATGTGTGGGAATGTTCAGAGTGCAGTGATATCAATTTTTGATTGATTCATTTATTCTTCTGCCTTAATCCCCCAGGAAAACATCTTTTCTCAACCAAACTCCCGTCAAGTTGTACCATTCTTTGCTATCGCATGCATCTCACATAAAAGTACTCCCTATCTTTTTAACATAACTCTTTAGTTCCTTCTCTGTGTATTTTTTCTTCAATTGCCTGCCTTTAATTCTTAGCCACTGTGGATTCCAGTATATTTGATATTCGAGTTGTATTTTTCTCAAGTTTTTTTCAGTGTGTGTTCTACCCAATACCAATGTCCTTTCTTCCCCTCTTGATTCACTGGTGAAACTGTATGTATTGGGCCAAAAAGTGCAGATATTTCAAACTGGCTGTAAACCATAACACAATGTGCCCAATGCCCTTTTAAGGGTGCATGCACAAGAAGAAGATGGGATATATTGCAAACAAAATACTGAAATAATTTTTTGAATACTGTGAATCAATCAGAAACTATAAGGTTTCAACATCAAAGAAAACTGTTTTATAAATAATAAAAAAATCAATAAACAAGTTTAGAAATGAAGTACTTTGGTGACAACTATTGCCACAGCAGTTTGAGAAAAACAATAATGAATGTGTTGTTTTCTGAAGCTGAGACAAGGCCAGCTAACATGAGAGCTGAGACCAGACATTCAAGATACTCTAGCCTGGAAAATGCACAGCAGGAAAACAAATGAACAATCAAGCAATTTTCCAGCACAGTGTGAAGAGACTGATGCTCAACAAAGGAACTGCCAGGTTTAAGTGAGCTTAACATACCAATGTTGTTTAACTGCGGTTCTCTGTTAAATTATTTGTGGTATTAACTACAAAACTAATCATGCAATGAGAGAAAGCATTAGCAGCATTATTATGAATTGTAATTCTAGTAGTCATAAATCAGTCCACATTATTTCTGAATGTAAAAAATAAGGGGAAAAAAAGATGTTGCCTCACCTGTTTTGTAAATGGTAATCTGATTGAAATTAGAATCTCTTTTGAACTCATTATGGTTTCCTTATAGCCCTTAAAAAAGTCAGAGTCCATCTTTACTGTGCGATGTCCATACTCTGGAAAACAGTTTTTTTCACATTAAAAACCAGATTAAACACAAAATAACCAGAATACTAATTTCACAGAATTTTTTTTTTCTCTCTTTTTTTTTTTTTAAACGGACAAAGACTGACCAAATCAGTAATCCAGCTTCGGTTTGCAGCTAAAACAAAAAATTGTTTGTCGCTTATGTGATGTCCTAGTGAGGTACAACAAGCAAGCAGACTGGCAGTCCCCATGGTGGAACGGCTAGAGGCTCGCTGCGGATCGGAAGGTCGTGGGTTCGCTCCATGGCAGAGCTGTAACCGGTGTGATGCTGGTCACCCCTCCCATATAAAATATTAGTTCTAGCCCTATATGCCAAAAGGCGGGTATTTAACCAAAATTATCTTCATGATTAATCTTTATTTTATTATGGATGGCTCACCAGCCATTATGTGTGTACTCCATTTCTCATCATTTCTCATGGTTGGTTGCTCCTGCATATCTTTGTTCCCTCAACCCATTTTTAGCAGGTTTGGTAATTCTATGCTTGCTTCTGATGATGATATTCCCGATACACAGCCATCTTAATCTTGAGAAACCTATCAATTAAAACTTCAACAGTGTAAACTAAAGGCACACCTTTGCTGGCAAATTCAATCTCAGCCCCACAGGCCAACAGAAGTGGGTTCAGGTCCGAGATGGGACTGGCATTCATGATGTTTCCTCCAAGACTCTGAAAGTAAAAACGAAGCAAAGTTAGCTGGTGGCACGTCCTAGAAAAGGGTTGTGTTGTGTGGTGTTGTGTTGTGATTTTTAACATATTATATACTAGATCACAGTAGTGAAGTGAGGTGATCAGTCTTCTTTCATCTCCTCTTTTTTAATATCCTTTTTTTTAACCTTCACCAACTGTAAACTCAGAAAATTCTGGTTGTTTGTTCACTTTTGGACTTTGGTTTTATTCTAGAACTTTAGTTTTGCCTACACATCTGTTTTATAGATCTGTTTTACTTTTATGCTGAGCCAGACTTTTTTTCAAAAATGACCTTGACCCCCAGGTCGACCCGGCCTTGAGTGGGTACCAGGTGCAGTCCTGGGAAGTAAAGGCCGTGGCATGATGTTGACCACACCACCCATCTTGTGCCGTTGTTCTATATATTGTATCCAGACTGATAGTTCCTCATATTCTCAGAAAGGGAAGTGGGGAGGGGGGCAGTATATCTAATTTTTATCCAGTCTCACAAAGTATCAGGCCACCTATCATCACTACAGCTCCTCCAACTAACTTGTTGAGTGCTAAATGGGAAGGATGTATCTAGTTCACATGCCAAGTGTCCAATTAATGATTTTCATTCACGCTATGAGCGACACACAGTCCACAATAACATAACCAGCAGCTCACAGTCACAACCATTTATTCAACAAGATGTGAGTGTCCACCAACTCGCACACATAGAGAAAGAATCACGAAGAAAACACTAATATCATGTTAACATAATTGCCAACAATAGCTAACACCCTATGCTCCTACTTCTTGTAGCAGTTTCTAGTTGCGTCCACAACACAGCCTCACCCTCACTGCCGACCCTAACTCTTGAGCTATAACTGCTTCCGTGCCTATGGCCGCTGACCAACCCTCTGCTTAGGGCTAGTAGTTAGAATGAACACACTTCATTTCTCCTATCCAGCTGCACTGTGATTAATCTAACATATTAAACAGGCACATTCATTTTGACTGACTCTCAATCATTGAGTCTCATTGATAGACAACTGGAAAGCAGACACTAACGAGGAACACTCACTGCCTTGCATAAAGAATGATTGCCTTGCTTCACTAGTGTACGACTCTATCCGTCTGCATCGCAAGACAATCTGCTCGTACTGCTTTCTCAACTCAACTCTGCGAGACTTGCCCAAGTATATACACTGCTTGAGTTCTGCTTGCATTTTCAGAGACCAGAGACACATGCAGTTATTCTTTTCCTCTCCTACTCTATACCTCCCTGCCCCAAGCCTTGCCCAGCACGATCTCGGTATGAATTTTGACTCAGGCCGTGTTGACACCTTGTGAATTTCCCCATCAGCGAGCCTGTCCTAGTACAACACAGAATCTATACTCAACATACCTCAAGGGTGGAAGACAAGGATGGAGTGCTAAAGTCTGAGTCCCTGTGATGTCAGTCCTTAGCTCAACATTCAACACTCAACATTCAACACTTAATGATCCCAGGGATACTTGAAAAAGTTTAGGTAAACCTAATTGCATTCGGAAGTGCCCTCACAACCAGAGCAGGAAGCAAACAACACACAAATGAAAATAAAACAGCATACCGCAACATTCCTGATCTGCCTGCCAGCAAAATAGCTAAGCATTTCGATGAATGCAGTGAAGATTCTAGTTGTCTCCTCTGTGAAAAATATGAATATGTTCAATTATTTACATTAAATTTAAAATTAATAAATTATGAACATTTATGAACTTGTGTTGCAAAGAACAGAAGGAATTACTGTGTCTGATAGAATGCCTTATATGGAGCTCCCTGAGAAACTGTTAGAGCTCACAGACAATCACTCACAGGCAGGAAATATCAAGGGGCATTTGACATACATAGATTTACCATGGAGCTCCTAGGCCAGTGTCCAGTGTGCCCATGCATTAGGACGGCACTGCCCTGTTCATGAACATTTGATGCTGGGCTCATATTTTCACAGACAAATAACAACTGGATGGCTGGTGTGGTCAAAATAACGCAGGCAGATTTTGCTCCCAGGACTACATGGTACCTGGTCCCTATGTCCAACCTGGGAAAGCCATGGTACCTATGTTAGATTTGTCCAACCTGGGAAAGCCATGGTACCTATGTTAGGTTTGTCCAACCTGGGAAAGCCATGGTACCTATGTTAGGTTTGTCCAACTTGGGAAAGCCATGGTACCTATGTTAGGTTTGTCCAACCTGGGAAAGCCATGGTACCTATGTTAGGTTTGTCCAACCTGGAGAAGCCATGGTACCTATGTTAGGTTTGTCCAACCTGGAGAAGCCATGGTACCTATGTTAGGTTTGTCCAACCTGGAGAAGATATGGTACCTATGTTAGGTTTGTCCAACCTGGAGAAGCCATGGTACCTATGTTAGGTTTGTCCAACTTGGAGAAGCCATGGTACCAATGTTAGGTTTGTCCAACCTGGAGAAGCCATGGTACCTATGTTAGGTTTGTCCAACTTGGGAAAGCCATGGTACCTATGTTAGGTTTGTCCAACCTGGAGAAGCCATGGTACCTATGTTAGGTTTGTCCAACCTGGAGAAGCCATGGTACCTATGTTAGGTTTGTCCAACCTGGGAAAGCCATGGTACCTATGCTAGGTTTGTCCAACCTGGGAAAGCCATGGTACCTATGTTAGGTTTGTCCAGCCTGGGAAAGCCATGGTACCTATGTTAGGTTTGTCCAACCTGGGAAAGCCATGGTACCTATGTTGGGTTTGTCCAACCTGGGAAAGCCATGGTACCTATGTTAGGTTTGTCCAACCTAAGAAAGCCATGGTACCTATGTTAGGTTTGTCCAACCTGGGAAAGCCATGGTACCTATGCTAGGTTTGTCCAACCTGGGAAAGCCATGTTACCTATGTTGGGTTTATCCAATCTAAGAAAGCCATGGTACCCATGTTAGGTTTGTCCAACCTGGGAAAGCCATGGTACCTATGTTGGGTTTGTCCAACCTAAGAAAGCCATGGTACCTATGTTAGGTTTGTCCAACCTGGGAAAGCCATGGTACCTATGCTAGGTTTGTCCAACCTGGGAAAGCTATGGTACCTATGTTGGGTTTGTCCAACCTGGGAAAGCCATGGTACCCATGTTAGGTTTGTCCAACCTGGGAAAGCCATGGTACCTATGTTAGGTTTGTCCAACCTGGGAAAGCCATGGTACCTATGTTGGGTTTGTCCAACCTGGAAAAGCTATACTAATCAGAAAAATCTGATCACATCTGAGAATCAATTTCTATCTCTAGAGAGAACGAGTTCCCCATGTTGGTTCCAGGAGCCCACTGTTGGGAAAACAAGAATAGACCCACTGCCTCCGCAACAGTCATGTCATAGGAGTCAACTAGCTGGGAGCTTCCTTCGAAGTCAGAGTGCATCTGCCTGAGCTGTACAACCAGCTGTACACACATACGCCAGTAAAATGGACGCACATGCAAAACTTAGGACTTGGCACCAAGTCAAAAGTTGAATGTTGAATAAAGAATCGACATCACAGCACTCGGGAGACTAACATAAGTGCTCAGTCCCCTTCTTCAGCAGCAAGTGAAGAGTTCCAATTCTGATGGTACCAGTAACTGTCTGATTGTATAACCATCGTATCCTTCCCCTCAGTGTTGAGCATCGGCCAGATCCCCTGGTAACTCCTCGCAGTGCCTTTTTCCTTCGACCGTAATGATTTATTTTCGCCTCCGCACTGTTCACCCATTCCCAAAGAGCCCTCACAGTATCTGACTTGTCATAAATTAATTTACCACCAAGTGGTGCAGAGCCAGCCAGTCTATTTGCCTGCTTATTTCCCAACATACCAGCATGACCTGGAGAAACTATCCAAAGGATTCTAACTACCTGGGACCTCTGAAGTGATGCTTGCCACTCTGCATGAAGCATGCTTGTTTTCACCTTCCTCAACATGCTCAGTGAGTCCGTTACAATCATGGCATGTGTGTATAGCTAATTCTCAAGCCAGCGGAAGGCAGCAGCAACTGCCTCCACCTCCATTCTCAAACTAGACGTTGTGATATCAAGCCAAAGTCCAAATGCATGAATAACCAGGATGTTGCACCAAAGCTTACAGCTGGTGAACAAAGAAGAAGCAGAAGAGAACGAGCAAACAATGCACTAGCAAAAATAGATCATCACGGTCTGAAGAGAATGGTGCAGCTGGGAGTAGCCAGAGGTTCTTGCCGACTCAGAGGAAAGGCAAGACGGACCACTGCTACTGGCACCACTGGAGTTGGAAATCTGCTGAAGATGGGGACAGGAGCACTTACGGGAAGGTCCCAAGTCTGTGACATTGGTTCTTAACACAAATCAACTCTGTTGTGAATTTACAAATTTGTCTACTTATAGATGCAGTAATTTTCAAAATATCTTTAGAGATACAAGTCAACATAAATGCAAACACAGATCAACACAGTTTACCTGGAAAAGTATTTACAGCCTTCCGTAGGTGCTGCTCCATGTCTGTCAAAGTAACAGATGCCCCGAAGCATATTCCTGAATCTGTGATCACAACATTCTTGAGTTCCTGGACCCAGGCTGAGCTCACCAGAACAGGGTAGTAGCAGTGTTTGAATTTGGTTTCAATCCCTTGAAGGCAAACAGAAAGATATATTCACAGTACCTTCCTGAAGAAATGCAAATGCCCTATATAAAAGTAAAGTAGAGGACCCTTTTTCAGGCCTTTAAGTGTATAGGGCATATAGGGCTAGACCTATATTTTATAGATCAACAGCACAAGAAGGGTGATGTGGTCAGCATCACGCCAGCCGCCTCTACTTCCCAGGACTGCACCCGCTACCCACTCAAGCCAAGGTCATTGTTTAAAATAGTCCGGCTCCGCCAGGGAGCGAACCCACAACCTTCTGATCCGTGGCGAGCATCTAGCGCTCCCCACGGCGACTCCCAGATGCCCTATAGGTCTATGTAAATTTGTTCTTTTTCTGATGAATGATGATAAGCTCAATAAAACATTTTTCTTGTCCTGCTTTTTATGAATCAACATCATCAGTCAGCAGGTACCTTACAGAATGTTGCTCTCATCAGAGCATGTCTGAAAGTTTGCCTTTCTCCAACCAGTTCTCCAGCCTTATGTGTTTTCATAGCCAATTCATCTTCAATGCCTTTTATTCACCTTTGTAGAGGTCTGCTTCTGTCCGTCCTGTTTTCTGAAAACTGTACCCTCTATCACTTTCTCCAGGCCACTTAACATGACAAAAATACCTAATCTTTCAGGCAGGATGCTGTCTATGAGCCAATTCTCCTCAATGCTCGGATCATGCAAGATGTTGGTATTATTTTTCTCTTCTTAGTCCATGGTATTCTATGAATTCTATTCTGCAGCATTTTAATTCACAAGTTATAATTTTTCCCCTAAACAACTGAGTAAGAGTCTTTGAGAAATATCCATAATTTGTCACAGAAAAAGATGTATGATCATAAAAGTTTTACTTTAACTTTCTTCCAGGTAATGTGCTATAAGTATTTTATGCTATTTTTATGAAAAAATAATGCTATATAACTCATTACCACTTCGTCTTCTTTAGGGATCTTGGAAAGGATTGAGAATCTTTTCTGTGAACTGCTAAACTGGTGAGTTTTGATCAATCTCTGCAATGCCACTATCAGTCATGTATCAGACTGACTGAAAGACATTTGATCTACTCATGAGTCATTGTACTGCCTCTAACTATCTTAAACTATGGATGCATAAAAATAAAACACTCACAACCCTGACATCTACTCAACAATCTGTTTGATCCCTGTAATGATTCTACCACTACTTTACTCACCAGTCACTGTTTTGTCCTGTAAATACCTACAACCTGCATACTCACCAGTCACTGTTTTGTCCTGTAAATACCTACAACCTGCATACTCACCAGTCACTGTTTTGTCCTGTAAATACCTACAACCTGCATACTCACCAGTCACTGTTTTGTCCTGTAAATACCTACAACCTGCATACTCACCAGTCACTGTTTTGTCCTGTAAATACCTACAACCTGCATACTCACCAGTCACTGTTTTGTCCTGTAAATACCTACAACCTGCATACTCACCAGTCACTGTTTTGTCCTGTAAATACCTACAACCTGCATACTCACCAGTCTCTGTTTTGTCCTGTAAATACCTACAACCTGCATACTCACCAGTCTCTGTGTTTCTTGTAATGATCCTAGCTCCAGTACTCATCAATCTGTTTGTTCCCTGTAACAATCCTACACACCAGATACTCACCAGTCTCCCCCTGTTCCCTGTAATGATCCTGCACCCCAGGTACCCATCAATCTCTGTGTTCCCTGTTAGGATACTACACACCAGATACTCACTAATCCCTTTTCCCTGTTATGATCATACACAAGGTACTCCCCAGTCTCCCTGTTCCCTGTAATGATCCTACAGCCCAGATACTCACCAATCCCTGTGTTTCCTGTAACGATCCTACACACCAGGTACTCACCAATCTCTGTGTTTCCTGTAACGATCCTACACACCAGGTACTCACCAATCTCTGTTCCCTGTTATGATCCTACACACCAGATACTCTCCAATCTCTGTGTTTCCTGTAACGATCCTACACACCAGGTACTCACCAATCTCTGTGTTCAATGTAATGATCCCACACCCCAGGTACTCACCAAACTCTGTGTTCAATGTAATGATCCCACACCCCAGGTACTCACCAATCTCTGTGTTTCCTGTAAAGATCCTACACCCCAGGTACTCATCAATCTCTGTGTTCAATGTAATGATCCTACACCCCAAGTACTCACCAATCTCTGTGTTTCATGTAACAATCCCACACCCCAGGTACTCACCAATCTCTGTGTTTCCTGTAAAGATCCTACACCCCAGGTACTCGTCAATCTCTGTGTTTCCTGTAACAATCCCACACCCCAGGTACTCATCAATCTCTGTGTTCAATGTAATGATCTCACACCCCAGGTACTCACCAATCTCTGTGTTTCCTGTAATGATCCTACACCCCAGGTACTCATCAATCTCTGTGTTTCCTGTAACAATCCTACACCCCAGGTACTCACCAATCTCTGTGTTCCCTGTAACAATCCTACACCCCAGTTACTGACCAATCTTTGTGTTTCCTGTAACAATCCTACACCCCAGTTACTCACCAATCTCTGTGTTCCCTGTAACGATCCTCACCCCAGTTACTCACCAATCTCTGTGTTTCCTGTAACAATCCTACACCTCAGTTACTCACCAATCTCTGTGTTCCCTGTAACGATCCTACACACCAGGTACTCACCAATCTCTGTGTTCCCTGTAACGATCCTACACCCCAGTTACTCACCAATCTCTGTGTTCCCTGTAATGATCCTACACACCAGGTACTCACCAATCTCTGTGTTCCCTGTAACGATCCTACATTCCGGATACTCAGATCTGATTTCTAGCAGCTGCTGCAAGCTGACAGGACGTAGCCAGGTACAACGTTCAGATGTAAACGTCAAGTTCTCCATTGCCAGCTTTGGTGTCAAGAGCTGACAAAAATTATAAGTTATAAAGTAAAATAAAAATAATAGAGGCCACTTTTCCATGCCACCATTGTGAATATATACCAGACCTATAGTTTATAGACCAGTCGGCAGTCAGTGGGTGATGTAGTCAACAACACATTAACTGCCTTCACTTCCCAGGGCTTTGCCTAGTACCCGTGTATGACTAAGTTGACCTGGCAATCAAGGTCATTTTTTTTTAATGTCCGGTTCTGTTTGGATTTGACCCCACAATTTTCGGATCCACAGGTAAGCGTCTAGTCGCCTCATCATGGGCTCCCATAAATAACAGGTAATAAACTTGGCTTTAATTTGTAGTTGACAATGCTATAATGTTTTCTCAAAAACAAGACAGCGTCTTAAATTAGTGTTCACTCCTAAAGACACCTTAAGACTTGTTTTTAGGGGATGTCTTCTTTATCTACAAATAGGTGCCCACAATGGTATTTTCAAATACTAAATTATTATTTGGGAGCTGTTGGGGTGTAGCAGCTAGCCACTCGCCTGCAAATTGAAGTTCTTGGGTTCAAATTTGAATGAAGGTGGACTTCTGTCAAAAATTACAAATAGGTGCCAGGCTGACCCAGCCTTAAATGGATCCCAAGTAAAGTCGTGGGAAGTAAAGGCGGTCAGGGTGATGTTGACCATATGGCCCACACAGTGCCGATTAGTCTATAAAATATAAGTCTAGCCCTATATGCCCAATAGGCCGAATAACAAGGAAGAAAGTCTTTTTACATTTTTAATTATAATTTATTTAAATCATTAATGATTATACTGCACACTATATAATGTGATCATTTCTGAAACTATATTGCATACATTATAATGTTGTAATTTAATACTTTCATTCCCCTGTGGTAGATTTTTTCAGTATCGTGCAAGTCTTCAAAATGCCGCCCCTAATAGCTTCGCATGTCAAATCAAAAGTTCAACCTGTATTTTGATTTTGCTGCTTATGCTCCCCCTCCCCCCCCCCCCCCCCACCCTTGTGGTGCCGTCTGATATGTATATATATATATATATATATATATATATATATATATATATATATATATATATATATATATATATATATATATATATATATAAAAGTGTGATAATATCTTCTTGTATACTGCAGACATCATACTATGAGATTCTTGACACTAAACTGCACACTTTAAAGCATAGACATCTGACTACCTTCAGCTCTGGAGGAAATATAGGTTCTTGGGTAGGGTCGTATAAGGGCTGTCCAGGTGTGTCCACAAGGTCCTGCAATATCAAATATATCTACATTGATAGATGAGGACAGTTATTATCACTGTAACAGCCAGCAGGTGGTTCAATAATGATGATGATGATGATAATGCAGAGGCCAATAGTGCCCTCTACAAGCACTGTGATGATGATGATATTAAATATACCATTTCTAAAGAACAAATACTCTCTCACTCACTCTCTCTCTCTCTCTCTCTCTCTCTGTAATGTATATGTGTGTGTGGGGGGGGGGGGGGGTAGGGGTGGGGGTGGTGTGTGACTGTGCATATGTGTGTGTGTGTGTGGGGGGGGGGGCAGGTGTGTGCAGGTCGTGTTTGTGGGGGTGAGTATGTAAATGGGTGTGTGTGCGCATGTGTGTGAGTATATACATGTATGCTGGTGTGTGTACGTGAGTCCTCACTGGTCCACCCATAGGTCTTGAGTATCTTGTCCCAGGAAGTAATGGCGGTTGGCTTGATGTTGACGGCCCCCCTCCCCCCCACCCCATTTCCTGATTGGTCCATTAAAATACGACTAACATAATGTGCCCAGATGTACCACTGGCACTGGCCAGCTTTACTTCCCAGGGTATTATCTGGTACCCATTTTAGACTGGGTCAGCCTGGATGCCAATGTCAGTTTAGGAAATAAAATCCACCTGGATACAGATTCTAGTCAAAGACCTTCAGATCAGCATCTATACTTAACTCTTTCAACTCCAGAAAGTGGTAGAAATGTGTGGGTGAGTATTTTAGCAGGCCCCAATCAAACATACAATGTACAAGCATAGTAATATGTTATCTGGTGCATTTAAGTAAATCCAGTCATACATGGTGCGTTGTTTAGGATTTAAAGAGGGTATAAGTACGTTAAGTCGGCTCTGTGGCTAAGTAGATGCGAACGCTTCGTAATGCCAGGATGCCGGGTTCGATCCCTGCTGCGGGCCATGTGCCTTGCGTTGGTTTCGACAGTGGTATCAAGAAAGCCGACCGTCCAGAAGCAATAGCAAACTACTGCAGGTAAATTTGCCTAGAGAAACCACACAACAGCCAGGGGTTGTTAGGGTTGGTTCTGCAACGTCCTGTAAAGGATACGCAACTAACCTATAAGTATGTTATGAAAAGAATACTAATAATCTATATGTAAATGTTCGTTTGTTATTAATAGCTAATCTCTGAAAGTTCTTTACCAATTGCTTTCAAATTTTGATACAACATTGCATTCAAATACACGCAAGTTTTTATATAGAGTGTCGCACAAAGTATTAACAACATAGCTCCAATGATGATCACATCAGTTTTTGATTCGTTGCCACATTCCCGGCGCAGGTTTTTACTTCCGCTGGTAGGCGAACTTTGACTGTTGACCTCAGAGATCTGCATGAAGATGGACGCCGACAGTTCTACACCAATTGCTTTAAAATTTTGACACAACTTTGGCTTCAAACACGCAAGTGTTTTTCTAAAAGACAGTCGCACAAAGCACGAACTATAAAGCTACAGCGACGATTACAACAGCATTTCGGTTTTGCTTTCCCATGATCCATTTTTTTTGGCCTAGTACCTGGCGCGGGTTGTAGGCGAACTATGACTGTTGACCTCAGAGATCAACACAAAGCTGAATAAGATAATAAATTATGTGATAAATATTATAATGGCCACATTCGGTTCTCATTACAATTCATATTACACATTTTACAGCTATCCTCCGAAAAACGGGCACAAAATATGAAGGCCGCAAAAACACCCTAACAGAGCCTCAGTCACGTGTCAATTGCGCAGCTTCCGCATCTCCTGCAGCTTTGCTCGTGAGTCCCAGCCATCTAGTTTTGCCCCAATCCACGCCACGTGAGACTTGATTTTAAAGTTCTTATTTTTTAATTATTTATATTTTAATAACGCTTCCTCTGCTCTATTCTCAATTATTTTTTTTCTTTAAATTAGTTGGTATTTAGAAGTACAGTAGTAAGCTTTACTTTCAGCTGTTAAAACAAAAACAAAAAAAAAAGCTTTACCTTGTGATAAACAAATAACCATATTTTAACTAATATAAAGACACACTTATCTGTTGCATGTTCTAGAGTCTGCAAACCAGATTATCTCTATATCTCCGCAGACAATTACTGCAAAATTAGCCATTTTGGACACATGCACTTTCTATTTTTTTTTTATTCTCTGTTACGCCAAAGTAAGCCACAACAACGCAGGGCCAGTACAGCTAGTATTTTGAATAAAGCTCATAAACAGACAAACATTTAAATAGTTATACAGTCTGCTTTACTCAAATATTTACCTCTAAGTGGTTATAATTCCTGATGCTTTCTACTGCTCCATTTGATACAGAGGGTCCATTTGATACTGTGGGTCCATTTGATACTGAGGGTCCATTTGATACTGTGGGTCCATTTTTGCAACAGTTCTCACCCATAGGGCAGCGGAAATCCTGAAAGGTGTTATAAAAAGAAAGGTGTTTCTTAAGATAGTTGTTTGAATGTAAAGCCGTTGAGTAATTGTCGCAAAAACAAAAAACAAAAAAGTAAATAAAAGGAAATAAATCATCATCATCGTCGTCATTGTCTTCATCATCATATCTAGTCAGCAGGTCCTTTACAGACCATTTCTCTCAACACGGCAGCCCAGTAAGTCTCATTCTCTAGCCAACTGTCAGCCCTATGTGCTTTCATAGCCACTACATCTTCAGTGTCTTGAATCCACATTCCTTAAATTTGCCTCTACTTTGTTTTCCGGAAATGGAATTCCCCCCAAAAAGTTAGCGACAGTGTTTTACCGCTGCCTTGTCAATATTTACATGCTGAGGCCCCAGTCTCGTCCTAGGTGTGACTCTCGTACCGCAGCTCAAAAAAAATATGAAGAAAAAACAAGATTTTTTTTCTTTTTACAATAAATCTACCATGGCAGCCTTATCCATTGCAATTTTTCTTCTTTTCTCTCAAAGCTGACCAACTTTTGCTGTTTCATATGCTTTTAAACGGACGAGGCAGCCAAACTAAAGACCAGCCATATTATTTGTCGTCTTATACGACATGCTTGGTAAAAGGCAGGTTTTCCAATTTCTGCTTCACACCATGACCGTGACAAGAAACGGGCCAGCCACATGATGTGTATCTGGCAATGTGTGCTTGGAAGTAAAGGGGACTCACGTAAAAATGTATGACCCACTTCTAGTGCTAGCTGCTTGTTTACAATTGAGAACCAGTACCATGGACCCAGTTCGCTTCAAGAAATGGAGGCAGTTTCTTCGCATCTACTTTTCCGAGTAGAAACGTTGTACGTCATAGTTCAGAAACATTTGATCTTCACCAAGTCTTTTAACTAACAGTCACAATTAGCTAGTTGTTTTACCTTGGTAAAGGGATATAATCCATCCAATTGGTCTAAACCAGTTGACACAGATTTCTGCGTTTGCCAGGGTGCCGCCATATGAGGTCAGGCCATAGCTGAATGCGGTTTCTGGGACCTCTCCACGGGTGATCCTCATCCGCGTGGTGGCACTTTGTGTCATCGGTTGTTTATCGCTTGTGTGATGTCCTGATGGGGTAAAAGAAGATAGAGAAACTGTGCTATATGGCCATACAGCTGAACGCGATTTCCCGGATTAGTACCTACCCTGTTTGACCCTCATTCCTGCTATATAATTCTGCAAATTTAGACGGAGGTAGGAAGGGGGAGGGGTCTGATTATCTAGAGAGAAAAAAAGGAGGGGGGGGGGGCTAGAAAGACCTCCTATTAGCCTTTTGAAAAGTAGTACAAAACTGATGCAAAGGGATTTCCGGACAAGTAGTGCCATCTGATAATTTAATCTGCTTATCATTCCATGATGTCAGCACTTTAAATACCAACAGTATTATTTAGATTAGGAATCAGTTGTCTGTCACTCACACCAGTTGTTGACCCCCCAGCAATCAAGTGTCCAGCAGTCTATGTACAGGTTATCGCCCTCCAGGACGCTACCTCCACGTTTGACCACACATTCGACCTTATGAGTCACATCACGGATGACAGACCAACAGGCCAAATTCCAAATATCTCGTACAACCCCAAAGAAAGCTATGTGTTCGGACTCAGGTGGCGGATACACCAAAACTACTCCGCTGCCCTCTACCGATAACGGTCATGATAAACTCTAACACTAGGTAATTTTTCATTAATTCCGCACCTTACTCCCAATGGAGCATAAGCCCTCAATCAAACCACGCCAAGTGACCATATCCTTTACTACTGCCTGCAGTCCACCCCCAATAGCATCCGTCTTTGTAATTTTCTTGCTCCGTTCTCTGTGTGTTCAGTCTAGCTGACGGACCGAATCCCGATATTCCATCTTTTATCCGTTTAGCATTTATTCTTAACCCGCACAGGGCTGCAGGTTACCCCATACTGAAATATAGGTTAGTCGCGTATTTTTTACAGGATCTTGCAAAACTAACCACAACTGCCCCCTGGCTGTTGTGTGGTTTTTCTAGGCAAATTTACGTCCAGTAGTTTGCCATTGCTTACTGGACGGTCGGTTTTCTTGATACTACTGTCGAAAACAACGCAAGGCGCATGGCCTGCAGTTGGGATCGAACCCGGCATGCCGGCATTATAAAGCGTTCGCATCGACTTAGCCACAGAGACCACGCTGATATATAACTTGATGTTAAACATCTTTAGAGATTGAATGGGGTTACCCAGGATTTGCGAGTCAAACTTGCCATCGAAACTGAGATTTTGTAATCTTATGGCGATCAAACCTTCTGGCTAGAGAGTTAAAAAAAAAAAAAAAAACTATACACCGTATTCAGACATTTCGGTATCGCAGGGTAGCTTTCAAGAACAAGAACCGACAGTGAAAAAACAAAAAAAAAGTGAGTAAGAGAATCTGAGACCTCGGATCAATACTGCAGACAAGCAGTACTGTTTTTATTTGTGGCAAGTTTTTGCTTCTGGCAGTCCGCAGCCGTTATAATATCCCTCATATAAAAACTGAAATGATTTTGTTCTGAGACCCAGCTACTAAACTGTGTGCATGGCGCAACACTGTGAGCTGTGTTTCATTTGGAATGTTTTGTAAACTGCAGATTTGGAAAACGGCCAGAGGCCTGTTGCCAGAGAACTGGTGGTACCATATAAACTGGTTAAGCAGGGATGTGTACTTGCTCCTACCCTCTTTGGAATATACTTCTCACTTCTTTTGGAACATGCCATTCGAGACTAGGAGAGTTGTCCATTCATCCATTATCGATCTGATGGCAGCCTTTACAATGCTCGCAGGCTGAAGGCCAAAACCAGGATGAGAAATGTACTTATCAGAGAGCTGCTGTTGGCAGATGATGCCGCAATAACCACCCACTCAGAAGAGGAACTGCAATGTTTACTATCTGCCTTTGCTGATGCATGCTACGAATTTGGACTTACATTGAACAAAAAGAAGACAAAGGTTATGGTACAAGGTGTTAATGATAGACCTGCAGCCTACATTGAAGGTGAAGAGCTGAAGACAATTAATCATTTTACCTATCTGGGATACACAGTGATCATTTTACCTATCTGGGATCCACAGTGATCATTTTACCTATCTGGGATCCACAGTGATCATTTTACCTATCTGGGATACACAGTGATCATTTTACCTATCTGGGATCCACAGTGATCATTTTACCTATCTGGGATCCACAGTGATCATTTTACCTATCTGGGATCCACAGTGGCCATTTTACCTATCTGGGATCCACAGTGGCCATTTTACCCATCTGTGATCCACAGTGGCCATTTTACCTATCTGGGATCCACAGTGGCCATTTTACCTATCTGGGATCCACAGTGGCCATTTTACCTATCTGGGATCCACAGTAAGTAACAAACTATCGCTGCACAAAGAAATCAGCATTAGGATAGGTACGGCTGTAACAGCGGCGAGCAGATTAAAAAAAAAAAAATTAAAAAAAAAAAAAAAAAAAAAAAAAAAAAAAAAAAAAAAAAGAATGTGGGGGAACAGAAAGGTCACGGTTAAATCAAAAACTCCTTAGGAACAGTTTGCGATCCACTGCTTGCTGGGCAGCAATGGCTTTTGTTATTCCGCGTAGAAGCTCTTTAATGTCATCAATCCATGTTCTCCTAAGGTGGTCTCTTACTTTCACTTCAGATCTTTTTATGTTTAGCGCCTGCGTCGGTAATTGATCTGGCTGCATTCTTCATAAATGACCAAACCATTTGTTTCTCAATGAATTCGCTGCATGGTGTTGTTCCCACAGTCTATGACATACTATCATTTGCACCACACTTTTCATACAGTATCAGGTATTGCATGCCTCGCAACTACGGCACATCAAGTGCCTAGCACCTACCACACATCAAGTGCCTAGCACCTACAGCACATCAAGTGCCTAGCACCTACCGCACATCGAGTACCTACCACCTACCACACATCAAGTACCTAGTACCTGCAGCACATGAAGTGCCTAGCACCTACCACACATGAAGTGCCTAGCACCTACCGCACATCAAGTGCCTAGCACCTACCGCACATCAAGTGCCTAGCACCTACCACACATCAAGTGCCTAGCACCTACCACACATCAAGTGCCTAGTACCTGCAGCACATGAAGTGCCTAGCACCTACCACACATCAAGCGCCTAGTACCTACCACACATCAAGTACCTAGCACCTACCACACATCAAGTGCCTAGCACCTACCACAGTCATCAAGTGCCTAGTACCTGCAGCACACTTAAGTGCCTACACCTACCACACATTTCATGCCTAGTACCTGCAGCACATGAAGTGCCTAGCACCTACAGCACATCAAGTGCCTAGCACTTACCACACATCGAGTACCTAGCACCTGCCACACATGAAGTACCTAGCACCTACCGCACATCAAGTGCCTAGCACCTACCACACATGAAGTGCCTAGCACCTACCGCACATCAAGTGCCTAGCACCTACCACACATCAAGTACCTAGTACCTGCAGCACATGAAGTGCCTAGCATCTACCACACAACAGCACATTTGACGCGAACCTACCATCTAAGGCTTCACACAACTGGCTTTGTGTGGGCTGCGGGTTGCTCCTCAACAAGGCATACACAGACATCACAATCCCTGGTGTGCAAAAGCCACACTGCGAGCCGTGGTTCTCTGCGATCTGTCGCTGTAATTAGACAATAATCCTTATCACCACAACCCTCATCATCACCACCGCCATCATCATCATCATCATCATCAAACATCCTCATCACCACCGCTATCATCATCATCACCTATACCTCATCACACCAACATCCTCATCTACCACACATCATTAGTACATAGCACCTACCACAATCATCAAGTACCTAGTACATGCGTCACATGAAGTGCCAGCAGCATCACACATTACCACAGTACCATCAGCACATGAATGCATAGCATCCACAACATCATTATGCCTCATCATTACCACACACCATCATAGCATGCAGCACATGAAGTGCCTACCATCTATCGCATCATCATGGGCTTTCCACTACCATCAAGATGCGGAACATGTTTCCATTAGCTTATTTAAGACCACGAATCGAACGAACCAACTACCATCATTTTTTTTCAAAGGGTTACAAATTAGGCACGCACCCTGTCATTACACTCGGCCATCATCATTAAACTTCATCATCATTCACCACACCATCATTATTACCACTCCATCATGTTATATTCATGTATCATCATGCATGCATATTACCATATATCATCATGAATCATCAAAACCAAAGCATCGCTGGTCATGCATCATCACTACCACTACCATCATCATGCATCGTCATTACCACTACCGACATCATGCATCATCATTACCACTACCTTTGTTCATGCATCAGATTTACCACTACCTCTAAATCATATGATCATTCGTTCAAACCATTTCATTACCACAACGGCTATCATGCATACATCATGCACTCAGAATGGATCAAACAAGACTCCCCATTACCACCTTTTATGGACACCACTAACATCAAAAGAAAACTACCATGAAGGCCACTAGAGATCATGATATCCACTACATCAATCATTACCAACGTACTATCAGTCAACCACAGCTATCACCTTGCCCTATTATTACGCACTAGGCGCAAGAGGAACAACGATCATCACTAACCTTACACACATACCACATAAAGTCCCTCACAACAATCACACAGCACATATTGCGTTCTTCAAACCTACCACACAACAGCACATTTGACGCGAACCTACCATCATAAGGCCATCACACAATGCATTCATGTACCACTACCATCATCATTCCTCTACAATCATCACAGCATCATCATTCCCACTGTGCCATCATCATTACACTGCGAGCCATGCATCTCTGCGATCACTCGCATCAATTAGACAATAATCCTTATCACCACAACCCTCATCATCACCACCGCCATCATCATCATCATCAACATCCTCATCACCACCGCTATCATCATCATCACCATCATCATCATCACCAACATCCTCATCATCACCAACATCATTACTACATCATCACCTACACCACAATCATCATCACCACCATCAGCATCGTCACCACCAATACCATCATCATCATCATTACCACAACCATCATCGTGCATCATCATTACCACAACCATCATCATGCATCATCATTACCACTACCATCATCATGCATCATCATTACCACTACCATCATCATGCATCATCATTACCACTACCATCATCATTACCACTACCATCATCATTACCACTACCATCATCATTACCACTACCATCATTACCACTACCATCATCATTACCACTACCATCATCATTACCACTACCATCATCATTACCACTACCATCATTATCACCACTACCATCATCATTACCACTACCATCATCATGACCACTACCATCATCATTACCACTACCATCATCATTACCACTACCATCATTATCACCACTACATCATCATTTCTACAACCATCATCATGCATCATCATTACCACTACCATCATCATGCATCATCATTACCACAACCATCATCATTACCACAACCATTATCATGCATCATCATTACCACTACCATCATCATGCATCATCATTACCACTACCATCATCATTACCACTACCATCATCATTACCACTACCATCATCATTACCACTACCATCATCATTACCACTACCATCATCATTACCACAACCATCACCTTGCATCATTATTACCACTACCATCATTTCTACAACCATCATCATGCATCATCATTACCACTACCATCATCATGCATCATCATTACCACTACCATCATCATGCATCATCATTACCACTACCATCATCATGCATCATCATTACCACTACCTTCATCATTACCACAACCATCATCATTACCACAACCATCATCATGCATCATCATTACCACTACCATCATCATTACCACTACCATCATCATGCATCATCATTACCACTACCAACATCATCACCACCACTATCATCATGATACCAAAATTTATATTATCGTTGCTATCACCATTATAAGGATAAATATATCACTAGCTTCATTCCAGCAGTGTTGTGTTCACCAGGTTTCAGTCTAGGGGGTGAGCTTCATTACTGACGACCCTCGTGTGCTCTTTGATCTCCAGCAGCTGGCCAACACAGCTTGTGGTCAACTCTTCGATACGCTAGGACAGAGCTGTTCAACTACCCGCCCCACGAACCAAACCTGGCCCGCCGAGGCTTAGCAGGCAGCTCGCGGCTTATTGCCAGATATAATGTATTAATTAATATATCTTTCTAAGCTTGGGCTTGGGCCTTTGGTCCGTTTCCCAAAATGTTGGCCCCTGGGTGAATGAGGTTAAATGGCCCCTCTCCAGAATTTAGACTCTCCGTGACCCTTGATTTAAAAGCATAGTAACTTTGTGCAAAGCATAGTAACTTTGTGCAAAGCATAGTAACTTTTTGTAACGTGCCCCCCCCCCCACCCCTTTTTTTTTTTAAAAACCATTCTTAGTTCCAAATATATTCATTCTTAACCAGTGTTTTCAATTGTTACTATACAATACTTAGAGCAAGGATAAGAGAAATGATATAATAACTATAGCAAAAGAATGTGTCTGACAACTGAGATCAAATGAATTAAGAACAGACTTCCGGTGTAAACAGCCACAATGGCGGTACGCTTTTTCGTCCGTTGAGGCGAATGGCGCAAATTAACTATTTTCGCTCACGTATAATGTGAAAGTTTCATCGGAATGGGGTCTGAACCGTGCAATGGAGTACATGCACGTGAGTTCAGACTTCCCTCAGGGTGTATTCAACGTCCGATGGCGACTATTCACCAATTCAAAACAACCCATAGACGGACAAGGAGAACGCGAACAGGCAAGTAAGGTGGCGCCTGCAGGAAGCGACTGAAATGTGAGAGACTCAGCTTAAAATATGTTCGCGTTCTCTACTGGAACTGCGCTTCGTTCAGTCAACGCCGACCCATTTTTGAGAAGCTCCTCTATCAATGCCCTCAGAGAAATGGGAAGGATAGAGGACTTTGGTGGCAGTGAATCCACATCACTCGCCAGAATGGCAGACTTGGGAATTAAGATCGGCACAGCAAAAAACGAGACGCACACCGGACACGTCAGAAGACTTGTTAATCAACATAGAACTGGTACTATTAGCCATCGGACGTTGGGGTTCATACTGAGGGGAGGATCTGAGCACCTATGGACATGTCCGGAGTGCAATGACGATAACCTAACTAACTAACTAACTAACTAACTAACTAACTAACTAACTAACTAACTAAGAACAGACATCCAAGCACTCAGAACAATCCCACAAGCGACATGTCCTCGTCCTCAGCAGCTGGCGTCGAGTTCCGATTCCAATTGTCCTAGCAGCAGTTCAATTATATGTCCATCTGGCTATTCCTCGGAGTCTAGAGTCTCAACCAGATACCCTAAACACTCCCCGCTGAACCATTCATTTCAGAGTGTAATTATTTGCGTTTCAGCATTGTTCCCTTGCACACAAAAAAGGGTGGGGGTACGGAAGAGGGGGGGGGGGGGGACTACTACCACTTTAACAATCGCGTCATGCACAGCGACTAATTGGGGATGTTCTTTTCGAAGTTAGCGGCGTCCGTGGCTTAGACGTTGCGAGTTCGACTCGTAATTCCAGCGTACCGCAATGGAAACCCACTGCTGGCTGCGTGGATTTTTATCATGGTATGGGGCGTTTGCAGGTCGACCCAGCTTAAAATGGGTACCATGATGTGGAAGTAAAGACCACCGACGTTATGCTGGCCACATTACCCACCTAGTGCCGATTGGTCTGTAAAAATATGGGACGCTCTTCCCATATGCCTGATGCGCATAAGGCGTTAAAGGGGATCTTTACTTTATTACTTTTCGAAGTTGGTCTGCATCTTCCAGACAGGCGAGGTACCAACCGTTTGCATACAACTTAACCAGATCTGTAAAACAGACGTGCACGCAGAGCTGACCGCCGAACAACTAGAACTTACCGCCGGAGTGTGGGGTCGGTGAATGCAAAGAAGAAAGTCCTACAATTTCTCTTTTAACCCGAGTAGGAATTTATCTGGACCTTTCTGAGGACAAGTCCTGTCAAAGATCGTATTGTCTTTACAGGAGTGTCTCCTGCACACACCCGCACCATTTTCATGTCTACATTCTAGACACAGCCAGGCATGGTGGAAACCAAACACATCTTCCAGAGACGTCTCAAATGGCAGAAATCCTGTACTAGGACCTGTGCAGAACGTCGCTCTCATCACGGTCTGCCTGAAAAATTATTTATCTCGCCAGCTCTTCCATGTCGTGCATTTTTCTACCCTATGTGTTACTTATACGCTGGGCCAGACATCGTGCTGGTCGGTCCTGCCCACTCTTTCGTGGCACCCTAAACTGGCCGAGTCTGCCCTAATCTCCCTTGATTGTAGTGGACATTGAGAATGTGTCACACACAAACCAAAGACTCGAACTAGTAACCATGGCGCAAATAATACGAAATGAGCAAAACTAAAGGTTATATCATACACAACACCAGTCCCCATTAAAGGCTGACTGGACCTAAAATCTAGGCTCAGAATAATACAAACATTTTTAAAAAAAATTTAAACCCCGGCTCCATCGAGATCTGAACCCATGGCCTTCTGATCCACAGGCAAGCGACTGGCCCATACACCACTACGGCTACCTTGATTGTATGTATCTACATACTCATGTGTGTATGCAAACACGTATACATGTAATCTCACGTGGGCATGCCTGTATGTGCATAAGCTTGTGTGTGTGTGTGTGCAAACACGTAGGGGTGTTTTCACTCATGGGCCTGCCGACATGTATGTTATGTGTTACTAACACACATACACACATAACATACATGTCGGCAGACCCATGAGTGAAAACACCCCTACGTGTTTGCACACACACACACGCACGCACGCACGCACGCGCACACACACACACACACACACAAACACACACAAGCATATGCACATACAGGCATGCATGTATAAATATATATATATATATATATATATATATATATATATATATATATATGTATGTATGTATGTATGTATGTATGTATATGTATGCGTGTGTGTTTTGTGTGTGTGTAACTGTAAGTGAATGTCTATATATGTATGTGTGGGTGTGAATACCAACCCCGTCCCCAACAACCCTCACTATGTCTAGACCACCGCTTCAAGCCACTAGTTTTGCTACAATTAACATTTGTTGCCAGTTTAATTAACACAAGAAACCAGATCACAATTATAGGTGATACTGCTTACAGTAGGTTAAACGTGGTCGATTTTCTTATTTTCTTTCATAAATGGATGGATGTTTTCCTGCTTTTATTCTTTAGGCCGTGGCACTTGATAAAATATTTCAGTTTCAGTGACAAGATGCTGTTTACGAGCCAATCTTCCTTGATGTGTAGACTTTAAACCTTTAGGCTGTCGGTATTTCTTTTATTCTTTGTGCATGGTATTCTGAGAATATTTCTACAGCTTTTCAATTCAAAAGCTCTTTTTTGTTTCTTTGTTGATGACTGCGAGAACATCTGCGACTCACAGTTGTATGCTGCTCTCACGGGAAGGATAATGGCAATAAAAAAAAAATAATAATAACGATAACAATAATTATATTGTCCCAATATAACTGATGTATGCACTTGAAAGGGGTTTCTGTCATTATCTTTTGTTGGGTTAGCATTCAAATATTGACTTTTTTAGTCACTAGCTGCCAATCATTTCGTCTGCAATCCCGGAAGGAATATAAAAACAAATACAAAATGGAATGAACGTTTGTTGTGAGGAACAAAAGAATGAATACCTGGATTGGATGTAGCTTTGTTCTGAGGCTGCCGATAGCTTCCACGGTGGTGACGGAAACCCCATGCATCGCACACAGCGGGGCCAAACAGGAGTTGACGGCATGATGTATGCACACTTGGTTAAGGTTTGTTTACACTTTCGTGACAAGAACATTGAAACAGCCTAGGTAATAATTATACTAATGCAGTAAGTAATACAAATTGCAGTGAAGTAAAAGTATAGGTCACTTTTCCAAGCCGTATATTTTATAGACCAGTCGCTACTCGCTGGGTGTTGTGGTCCACATCACACCGCCCGCATTTACTTCCCAGCACTGCACCTGGTACCATATCAAGGCTGAATCGGCCTAGGAGCCGGTTGCGATACATCCGCCTATGATATGAGAACATCTGGTAGCGTTACACTGATCAAACAAGTATCTATGCTAACATGTATGGCACTGCCTCACTATACATGGCTACAGACCCAACAAGTACTCGTACATACAAGTTATAACTGGAGAAAAAAAAAGTGTAAAAGCAGTGAAGGACATTTTCCCCATGTCTTTAGGCGTATATTGCATATAGGGAAAGACCGATATTTTATAGACCAGTTGAGCCCGTCTCTCTAGCGTAGTTGGCTAAACCGGATTGCGCGGTGAGCGGGTGACGAACTCCTTGTGGTCCGGGTTCACTCCCGGGGGTGGGCAAAAAAGCCACATTTTTCCCAGATTTACGGTATTTAAAATGGAATTAAGGCCGAAAGGTTGCGATATCCATAATACCGAGCCTAAGGGTTAACAACTCATGGCTTCTGGATACTGAAACAATAGACCAGTTGAAACAAGAGAGGTGATGTGGCCACCATCACGCCGGCCGCCTTTACTTCCCAGGACTGCACCTGGTACCGACTCAAGGCTGGGTTTACCTGGGAGCCAAGGTCATTTTTGAAAAAAAGTCTGGCTCCGCCAGGGAGCGAACCCACGACCTTCCGATCTGCAGGCGAGCGGCTAGCATGTACTTCACGGTGACTCCCCAGTTACAACTGTACATTACTGAAACTGCAACAGACGACGCTACTCAAGTTATTTGTTGACCGCCATATTTAATAAACTAAACCACAATGATGAGTAATGACCGTCTCTCTGTCTCTTCTAATCAGCAAAAGATTCAGTTAAAAGTAAAGTCCGAAGATGTGAACCAGCCTCATTGCACACGTTAAAAACCATAAGTGCTCTGCCACCAGTACGGACAGCTAATAAGAAACTATCTGCCTGTGTCGCCGTCCGCGCGCAACTCCTAGCTACAGCGACGTTTCTCCATTTACCCTAGAGTGTTAACTCTGGTACCCATTACCTAGAGGCTGGGTGAACCCCGGGGAACTGCCAGGCTTGCAGCTGAAACCAAGGAGGACACATCAGACATGAGGGCAGGAAAAATACAGTTGACAACAGGATAGGGAATAAGCGGTCTGACTTGGAAGAAAGAAGCATTAGGCCCAGATACGGGCCATGTGCGTTGGTTTCGACAGTGGTATCAAGAAAGCCGACCGTCCAGAAGCAATGGCAAACTACTGGACGTAAATTTGTCTAGAAAACCCATACAACAGCCAGAGGCTGTTGGGGTTGGTTCTGCAACGTCATGTAAAAGATACGCAACTAACCTATCACACAGCATAGAACAACTGGACCACAAACTAGCCAGTGATAGGAACTCAACGTAGGACTCGCTCGAACAGACGCCTACAGATGTGGTCTGAAGATTAGGTCGTATGTCCGAGACTTGGCCCTGGTTAAACAGTAATTCCGGGAAATACGAAGTCACATTCAACGGGTCTCCTGGGATTTCCCGTGACGGATCTACTAAAGCATGAATGCGATACATTTCCGCCTGACATATCTACAAAATGTGTGTCTACAAGGAAAATTCATTAACGACACACCACAGAGCCAAATTCATTAAAAACAAAACAAAAAAAGTTCGACTCCGTCCGGAACCAAACCGACAACCTTCTGACCCGCAGACGAGCGTCTAGCTGATACACCACGGCGGCCCCATTAATTGCAGTATTACTTGTATTAGTGTTGATGGTGGTGGTGCTGACGGCAGTATGGTAGCAGCAGCAGTGGTGATGATGGTAATAGTAGCAGCAGCAGCAGCAGTAGTAGTAGTAGTCGTAGTAGTAGTAGTAGTAGTAGTAGTAGTAGTAGTAGTAGTAGTAGTAGTAGTAGTAGTAGTAGTAGTAGTAGTAGTAGTAGTAGTAGCAGCAGTAGTAGTAGTAGTAGTAGTAGTAGTAGTGGTGGTGGTTGTTGTTGATGTTGTTGTAGTAGTAGTAGTGTAAGTAACCACAGTAGTAGCCGGAAATATAGTAGTAACTGTCGTTTTAGTTGTAGTTATACGAAGGCTATTCCAAAATCGACTTACAATTGGCTGGTGAGGACAAACCGTTTGTCACAGCGGCACTATTTGTTGCTTGCATCATTCAGTGGCCTTTTAGCTCACTATACACACATCAATATAGATTCGTATTAGTTCAGCGGTTCACAAATTACGAGAGAATTACAAATTTACACTGTTACTGCCTTTCGCGCCAGCTGTGAAATTCGTGATGTGATTCGTTTTCTTCAAGCAGAAGGTCGGAATGCCGCCGGGATGTATGGTTGACTGTGTCGTGTGTACTGTGATAACGATATAAGTGACAACTCTGTGAGAAACTGTTGCAGGATATTCAAAGAGGTGTGCATGACGAAGGTGGACAAGGACGACATCCATGTGGGGCAGATGAGCTTATTCAAAAACTTGGCCAAGTCCTAGTGGAAAAGCGCCATTTCACAATTTCAGATCGTTGTACAGAATTTCCACTAATTTCTAGAACTAATCTGTTTCGAACTGTCACAAAGAGGTTAGGTCAACACAAAGTGTGTACAGTTGTTGATATTTTTGGACCGGATGCGATCTGTACCAGTGATATCTTCCTGGAGAGAATGGTCACATTATTAATCCAAAAACAAAACAAAAACTTTCCATTGTGACATTACTGTGTCAAAGGATACTTGATGATGTCAGATGCAGAGTCGTATTGAGACAGCATGACAGTGCAGGCTCCACAACCTCCTTCGCCACATCCTAGCTTGGTCCCTGTCAGATGTACTCACATTGTAAGGAATAATGTGTATAACGTTCTGCCAGCTCTGAGGTTCGTCATTATGACACGTACTAGCTACATACATAACTACACGAACATCTTTCTACCCACACTGGACTATATATTGCTTACTAACCGTACTGTGGCGCCCCTATAAACTGTTCTATATGGCTGAACTAGAGTCTCCGGGATTAGTACCTGTTTGACTCTCATTCTTGAATTGCTAATCCTACTGCAATCCTGGAGGGAATACAACTGTTTAAAAAAACTTGTTTTTTTTTTCAAGTAAACGAACACACTTATTTATAACTAGGAGTCTCTCAAGTGATTAGGAACATACATTTATTTGTCGGGGGGAGAGGGGGAGGGGGGAATAAATACAGATACATGAAATATTTCGACCGCACACAAAAATATAACACTTATAAAAACCATGCTGGAGGAAAAGATTGAAGGGAAGCGAGCAAGACGTTGACCGCGATACAAGTGTGTGTATGTGTGTGTGGGGGGGGTGGGGTGGAGGACGGGGTGGGGGTGGAGGACGGGGTGGGGGGGGGTAGGGGGTAATTAAAATAGCAATATTGATAAACAGAGCATGTTGAAGATCCATCAGCCGGTCTTTTTTTGTGGGATGGGGGGGGGGGCGGGAACAGCACCTCATTGACTGATTTTAATTAGGTATAGTAACACATTTGATTCCAACAAATATCACTGGTGGGAAGAGGGTATTTATCAATAGCCATTACAGGTAGTACAGAATACATGAAACACTGGACAGGTTGCAAACTGGAAGTTACAGTGATCATACGGAGATTCGAACCTATCGCCTTCTAATAACAACAGCGCTGTTAGAATCGTTGTACTTTGACGACATGCCTAGACTAGGAAAAGTTTGCTATGAAAAACGTGTCTTTCCTTATCCCGCAAACATAACTGATAAATTATAGGTCAAATAAAGTATAGGTCTAATATCCATGCAATTACAGGCGAATACCGTGAAAGCTTCGCCTGGTTGTCAAGGATACGTTTATACCGCAGAAAGTGAAGCAATGTCATTTCCGGATCTGGGTTGGTGAGCGTGACCTGCAAAGAAAGAAAGATGATTATATCATGCTTATTACCATTTTAACTGCTCACACATCAGGTGCTGGTATTTTATCGAATAAGTAAATAAAACAACGTAGAAATATAAAATGTCCAATTGTTTATTTAAAGAAAAAAAAAAAAAACAAATAAGGTGGGGGGAAAAAAGGTGGGGGGAGGAAAACCAACAGATGTAGGTCAAGAAATTCCAGAGAAATTTGACTAAAAAGCTCAACAAAATGGGGAAGCAGATAAACGTAAACAAAACAGCACAACGTAACGTTTCGGCCAGACAGCCTTTTGCAAACACAAGTGAACTACACAAACGTAACAACGAGGAGAGGAGAGTATGTAGATCTCTAAAGGGTGACGTGAGCCGGGGACATTCGTATCGGTCAAATGTGACATTCTATAGACCATTTATGAAACGAACGCTGTTAGAATTTAAGAGGTTAGATGAAATAACATGTCTAAGACTTTGTGTGGATCCGGCAAGGAGAAACGTACTACAGGAAGTTAACGAACACTTAGCATCTACACCTTAAGACATTAGCTGCAGGAGAAGGAGCACCTATGGTGTGCTATGGCGTCGATTCTTAAATCAGAAATCAGATGAAAGGTCGCAACAATTAACTCTAAATCCCTGTACGGGTTTGGAAACCTCAATGAAGGTGGGGTGGGGGAGGTGGGGACCTGAACAACTTTACCACCACCCCCGCCCTCCCACCAAACAAGCAGGTAAATTAGAGCAGCGGTTCTCAACCTGTCAGTCGCGGCCCGTTTTTTGTGTGTCAAACGATTCTTTCACAGGGGTCGCCAAAGACCATCGCAAAACACATGTTCGTTGAAGTTACGAAGTAGCAACGAAAATAGCTGCATGGTTGGGGCTTGCCACAACACGAGCAAACTGTGTTAAAGAGTGGTCACATTAAGAAGGTTGAGGTTTACTGAAAACGGATATGCGGGCCTGAATGGCGCGAAAAACAGTCTATTTCTGCGCGAACGCAGTCAGCTACCAGATCGCCTCCAGCTGACTCCAAACTTTGGTAAAGCTGACTTATGAAACTGCGTTTACAACCCGTAACCCACCTGCACCGACACTAACTAAATATTAAATATTAAAATGTCTTACCTTTCGCCCATTGACGAAGAACACAAGAACGTTAGACTTCGCCATCCGCAGATCTTTGTCTTTAGTCTTGAAGGAATTGCGCTAGAATTAACAAGAAATTAGTTAGTTAGTTAGTTAGTTAGTTAGTTAGTTAGTTAGTTAGTTAGCTAGCTAGCTAGTTAGTTATTTGGGTTATCATCATTGCACTATTAACAGGTCCTAATGTGCTCACTCCTCCCCCCCTCCCCTAATTTTTTCTTTCAATATGAACCACAGCATCCGGTCGCTAATAGTATCAATTCTATGTTGATTTGAGTCGCCGTGGCGGAGCGGCTAGACGCTCGCCGCAGATCAGAAGGTCGTGGATTCGCTCCTTGGTGAGGCCGAACTTTTTTCAAAAATGAACTTGGCTCCCAGGTCGACCCAGCCTTGAGTGGGTATCGGGTGCAGTCCCGGGAAGTAAAGCCGGCCGGCGTGATGCTGACCACATCAGCCACCTTGTGCCGATTAGTCTATAAAATATACGTCTAGCCCTATATGCCATATACGCATAAAAGCGTGGAAAAGGGTCCTTTACTTTCCTTTAATATGTTGATTAACAAGTCCTTAGATGTGCCTGGTGTGCGCCTTGTTGTTTTTTTTCCATGCCGATCTTAACTCCCAAGTCTTTTATTCTGGCGAGTGATGTGGATTCACTGCCCATAAAGTCCTCCACCCTTCCAATCTTTCAGAAGGCATTAATATCAGCATGATTCATAAGTTAACCGCCAGTACTGATAACGGATCCTGCCAAACAATCAGCTCTTTCATTTCCATCGACGCTCGCGTGTGATGGAACGAAAATAAAGGTGACTCCACGCACACTGGACTTCTGTAATGACTCAAGTCACTGCCTTCTCACCTAATCCTCCTGAACCCTCCACTCAGTTCTCATTGGATCCCTGAGTACATACACAGTGGTTTTTATGTTTCAAGCCACGCGTCGGCTTGTGTTCCTGCTATCACCTCCATCATCATGCTACTGGTTGTTTTGAAAAAGGCGCTGTTTGCCTCATGTTTATTAAATGCTGAGAAACCAAGAACAACCTCTAAATGACTTTGAATTTAACCACTAGTAAAGAGATTTATTAAATCCTCACAAACATGATATGTTTATCCCACACCACGAAATTACTGGAGTGGGTGAAACGGCCGGCCCGCTGTGTTGTGGATAAAATTGTAGATATGTTTCGTAAAAAACATGTATCATGCCACGTGTACATTAACGCAAATGATAAATGATTCTTGTTAGTGAATTACTTGTGTGGTGCGTTTTACATAGATGTTGCAGGTGTTTCTCGTGTAGTAAAGATGTAATGTCTGCAAGAGGGGAGGGGGCCTGCGTGGTTTCAAGGTATGGTGTCCGCCTCTAATGCTGGAGGTTCTGGGTTTAATCCCAGTTGAGGGCTGGGATTTTTTTTTCACGTAGACTTGGACTTCTAGTAATTTCCTCTGTCTCTTTGCAGTTGGAAATCGAAAAGAGTAGCCTAACCGCGCTGCCCGGGCTAAAATTTGGAGTTATAAATCTACCCAAACGTATTTCAGGATCCTCGCCGGTGCTACAGAGTCTGTGCAATGTGCTGAGCTTCTTCGGACTCAAACTTGAGTTAGAAGAAGAACGGAGCACTAATGGGTTACAACTTTGTGCCATGATGTTGATCCGTTGTGGAATGATCCGTTGTTCAAACCAAAAAGATTTTCAAACCACTGTGTATATTTTTTCACTCTCTTATAATAGGTTGTAAGGGGGAAATATAAATTAACATAAATATATGTTACATTACATAATAACAGAAAATAGATTATAACTGTTAAACACCACAACCTATGATGAATTACAGATGGATAGAAGATGTCAAAGCCGAACTCTACTACGATATAAAGATGTGTCCAAGAGGGACATGAATGAGACAGGTATTGAGGCGGATTCGTGTTGTGTGCAAGAGGCACATCAGGATGGGAACAAAAATTAAAGGAAGAAATGATTGCAGAAAGGATGAGAGCTGAACGTCTGAGAAGAAACTCACTAAACACAAATGCTGGAAACAACAGTCCAGAAACGCTATGCTCTAATTGAGGACAATTTTTCTTAATCTGGCGGGTCTTGCTAGTCCCACTCGCCATCGCCATGGACTGTGAGTCCCATACCTCTTCACAGAGCAATCTAACACTATCGTCTGGAAAGACGAAAAGGTGCCAACAACAACAACAACAACAACAAACTATATGATTGTAGATTTTACGTGTTAAGCATAACAGATTACAAGTATCACCTTCCATATAATTCAGATATTTGTTTTATTGTTCTATTTATCCACAGGATACATACATGATGTAGAATGCCTTTTTTTCAGGTTTGCATTGTTAATATCCAGTTTAACTATGTTTGTTCATGTGGCGCATTGTTTCATCTTTCACGGCAGCCCTATAGAGCTGTCAATCTTTAGCAAGTATACAACTGGTATGAGCTGATTCTATGTTCATATGTGGGTGTCCTTTGTAGTTGAGATTTCTTGCAGTTTGTTCGTTGATATTATGCTGCTAACATTCAGTGCGGGGCGTCTCTTCATTCATTCCTTCCTTCCTTTGTTGTGCACTTTCTCTTTCTCCTGCCCCTCCTCCTCCTTTTCCTCCTTATTTTTATTGTTATATTTATTATTACTATTATTATTATTATTATTAAGAGCAACCAAGAGGCTTTGAAAGAGGCGGGAGCCCAAAGACAACTTATCACAGACATCAGAAGGAGACAGTCATCATTTTTCTGCCATGTTATGAGAAGAGGGAAAATAGAACATGTTGTGACCACTGGAAAGATCTGTGAAAGGAGGGATAGAGGAAGACAACGAGAGAAGATTCTTGTCAGTCTAGTTGCATGGCATGCAGGTGTGTCGGCACACGAACTGATACATACTGCAGGAGATCGTGGAATTTTGAGAGGCATGATGGCCCAAGCCAGTCGGCAAGGCACCTGATTATTATTATTATTATTATTATTATTATTATTATTATTATTATTATTATTATTATTATTATTATTATATCCTAGTATTGCTTGACACCGTTAGGTTTTAAAGAGGCATCGGGTGACAGCCTTTGATGTGCTACGTAGCTGCTCCTATTAGCGGCCTCGAATATTCCATCTATCCATCGTTAGCATGGTCGCCCTCTAGATCTACTTGCATTATGTCTGACTGAAAAAAGTATGGAGATACTCGCTGTTATTTTGTTAGTGAATTATGGAATATCAGCCGAGGCAATACAGGCTTGTGAAGAAATTGGAGTCACCTGGCTACTCCATATATTTAGGAAAGCCTGGGATGAAAGAACTGTACCAATAGACTGGCAAAGAGCCCTTATAGTCCCAATTTGGAAAAGAAAAGGCAATAAGCAAGATTGTAACAATTATAGAGGCATCTCCCTTCTAAGCCACGTAGGAAAAATGTTTGCCAAAATTCTGGAACAACGAATTAGATCCGTTGTAGAACCGATCCTGAGCCCATCACAGGTCGGATTTAGGAAAGGAAGAGGGTGTACTGACGCTATTTTTGCTTTAAGACAAGTTAGCGAAAAGACAATAGAACACAGATATCAAATGAACATCGCTTTCATAGATCAAGAAAAAGCTTTCGATAGAGTAAACAGAAATTTATTATGGAAAGTTCTTGAAAACTACGGTATAAATGGAACAATTTTAGATTGTGTTAGGGCTATTTATAGACAAAGTGAAAGCGCCATTAGAACAAGAGCTGGTATCACAGACTGGTTCCCAGTAACATTAGGAGTAAGACAAGGTTGTGTATTATCACTTTTACTTTTCATAATATTTATGGACAATATTAATAAAATAGACATAACACCAACAGATGTCGATAAACAGGAGGACTTCCATGAGCTGCTCTTTGCCGACGATCAATGCCTATTTCACAGTGATAGTAAACAGCTGCAAGAACACATAAACCTACTACACGACAGTTGCCTCAAGCATCATATGAAGATCAATACTGAAAAGACAGAAGTCATGAGCATAAGTAGAGAGCAACAGACCATCGACATAAAGATTCTAGATCACAGCCTAAAACAAGTGCAAGAATTTATATACTTAGGAAGTATCTTTTACATTCAATGGTAAAATAGACAGAGAGATCGAAGCAAGAATCCAACAAGCCAACAATGTCGCATACCAGCTTGCCCCAATTTTAAAACACCCTGCTGTCCCAGCTGAGATAAAAAGACAAATTATAAATACAATCTTTATACCGACATTAGGTTATCAATGTCAGACTTGGACATTAACAAAAGAACACGAGAGAAGACTAGCCACCTGTGAAATGAGATGTTTGAGAATGGCTGTGAATAAAACCAGAAGAGATCGAGTGAGAAACGATGTGATTACAAGAACTATTGGAACCATACCCATCGTTAAATTTATTGAGAAGCAAAGAATGAAATGGTTTGGTCACCTAATGAGAATGGAACCAACGATGCCAGCATCAAGAGCATACAACATGAAAATCGAAACACCAAGAGGCAGGGGAAGAAGAAGAAGATGGATTGAAGGAGTCACGGACAACTTGAGACTTCATAACATCACGGCATATGAAGCGACTGGGCGCGCCCTGGCTCGGTTGCCGATCATCTGATAGACTGCGACGCCTAGCGGCACAAGCAGATTTTGACAAAAGAAGAAGAAAGCAACCAAGAGGCTTTGGAAGAGGCGGGAGCCCAAAGACAACTTATCACAGACATCAGAAGGAGACAGTCATCATTTTTCGGCCATGTTATGAGAAGAGGAAAAATAGAACATGTTGTGACCACTGGAAAGATCTGTGAAAGGAGGGATAGAGGAAGACAACGAGAGAAGATTCTTGACAGTCTAGTTGCATGGCGTGGAGGTGTGTCGGCACACGAACTGATACATACTGCAGGAGATCGTGGAATTTGGAGAGGCATGATGGCCCAAGCCAGTCGGTAAGGCACCTGATTGTTATTATTATTATTATTATTATTATTATTATTATTATTAT